TATACACTAATAATAAAGCAACAGAAAAAGAAATTAAAACAATCCCACTTACAACTTCAACAAAAATAATAGAATGCCTAGGAATAAACTTAACCAAGAAGGTGAAAGACTTGTATTCTGAAAACTATAAATCACTGATGAAAGAAATTGAAGATAATACAAATGGAAAGTTATTACATGCTCATGAATTGGGAGAGCAAATATGGTTACAGTGTACATACTACCCAAAGCAACCTACAGATTTGATGCAATCCCTATCAAAATACCAAGTGTTTTTTATAGAACTAGAAGAAATAACATAAAATCTGTGCAGAACCACAAAATATCCCGAACGGCCAAAGTATCTTGAAAAAGAAGAATGAAAGTGAAGGCATCACAATCCCGATTTCAAGATACACTACAAAACTATAGTAATCAAAACAATATGATACTGGCACAAAAGTAGACACAGAGGTTAATAGAACAGAATAGAGAGCCCTGAAATAAACCCTCAGTTATTTGGTCAGTTATTCTTTGACAAAGGAGGCAAGAATAGGCAATGAGAAAAAGGCAGTCTCTTCAACAAATGGTGTTGGGAAAAGTGGATAGCTACATGCAAAAGAATGAAACTGGACCACTTGCTTATACACCATGCAAGAAAATAAACTCAAAATGGATTAAGAACTTAAATGTGAGACCAGAAACCATAAAAAGCCTACACTAAAAGAGCATAGGTAGTAATTTCTTTGATAGTGGCTGTGGCAACATTGTGCTAGATATGTCTCCTAAAGCAAAGTAAACAAAAGCAAAGAAAAAAAAAACTTTTGAGACTACATCAAAATAAAAAGCTTTGCACAAAAAAGGAAACAATCCACAAAACTAAAAGACAACCTACCAAATGAGAGAAGATATTTGCCAATGACATAGCTGATAAACAGTATCTCGAATATATAAAGAACTGATACAACTCAACATCCAAGAAACAAATAATCCAAATAAAAATGGGCAGAAGATGTGAACAGACATTTCTTCAAAGACAATATGCAGATGGCCAACTGACACATGAAAAGATGCTCAACATCACTCATCATCAGGGAAATACAACTTAAAACCACATGGAGTTATCACTTCACACCTGTCAGAATGGCTAAAATCAACAACATAAAAAACAACATGTGTTGACAAGGATGTGGAGAAAGGGGAAGCCTCATGCATTGTTGGTGGGAATGTGAACCGGTGTGACCACTATGGAAAAGAGTATGGAGAGCCTCAAAAAATTAAAAAGAATTATCATATGTTCTAATAACTCCACTACTGGGTATTTACCCAAAGAATACAAGAACACTAACTCAAAGATATATGCACTCCCATGTTTATTGCAGCATTATTTATGATAGATAAGATATGGAAGCAACCCAAGCATCCATCGACAAATGAAAGGATAAAGAAGATGTGATACATACATATATATGTGATATGTATATACATATATACATACATATGCACACAATGGAATATAGCCAAAAAAATAATGAAATCTTGGCATTTGCAACAACATGGATAGAGGTAGAGGGTATAATGCTAAGAGAAAGAAGTCAGAGAAAGACAAACACTATGTGATTTCACTGACATGTGGAATTTAAGAAACAAATGAACAAAGAGGCAACACAAACTCTTAAATATACAGAACCAGAGGGGAGGTGGGTGGGGGAAATGGCCAAAATAGGTGAAGGGGATTAAGAGTATACTTATCGGGAGACAGAACATGAAAGACTCCTAACTCTGGGAAACGAACTAGGGGTGGTGGAAGGGGAGGTGGGCGGGGGGTGGGGGTGACTGGGTGGCGGCACTGAGGGGGGCACTTGATGGGATGAGCACTGGGTGTTATTCTGTATGTTGACCAATTGAATACCAATAAAAAATAAATTTATTAAAAAATAAATTAATTAAATAAAATAAAAAATAAAAAAGAAAGTATACTTATCATGAAGAGCACTTAGTAATGTATACACCTGAAGCTAAAAGAACATTGTATGTTAATTGTGCTGGAATTGAAAACAAAATTTTTAAAAAGCAAAAAAACTACGATTAATATGTTAAGCATTCTAATGGGAAAGGTAACCAACATGTAAAAACAGGTGGGCAATATAAGCAAAGATCTGGAAGCGTTTAAGAAAGGATCCAAACCAAATGCTAAAAGCCAAAAACACTTAACAGAAATGAAGAATGGCTTTGATGGCCTCATCAGTAGCAGCGTGGAAGTGGCTGAGGAAAGAAATCAGTGAGCCTGAGGATAGGTGAGACCCGCTTCCCAAACTGAGATGCAAAGACCAACCAGAAGGAGGAAAACGAACAGAACATCAAAGGTCTGTGGAGCAATTTTAGAAGATGTCACACATAATACACATACACACCAGGAGAAGAGGAAAAAAGAACAGAACCACAGAAAACATAAAGATGTGTATTGTTAATGTGTTGTCCAAATCTCAGTGATACTTCGCTCGTGTATCTGAATGGTTGGCAGTGAAAAGGTAAAATTCGGCAAATTTCATTCAGTCTATAAACTTCTCATCAAAGAAAATGAAAAGATCTTACCTGCTACATGTCTTCACATGTTGTACTAAAAAAAAAAAAGCGTGATTTCCTATCTGTGATTTTGAGGCGTTCACAATGTAAGTTTTTGGTCGCTCTTTAGTTTCCTCAAAATTTGCAGAAACACTTAATGAAATTTTTGACCTTATAGAAAGGAAGAAGATAAACTCCTTAGACCTGAGCCTGCAAGATCACTGTTGCCAGCTATAGAAAAGCCATCAAAATGTTTGTCTGCCATGAAATTACCTTTTTGACATGTGACACAAGAACGTCCTCTAATTTGGAAATAGTCTGAAGATGAGAATACAGGGAAGCACTACAGTAAAATAATTTATATGCTGTTTCTCTAAAACTGAAGAACTTTGAAGAAGCACCAAGGACTATGGAAAAGGATTCATTGCATGTAAGCTGTCTGGTCTTGTGTGTAGCCTGTGACAAAAACTCACACAGTGATAAGACATTTAGGGGAAAGACTGACTCAGAACTCAAAGATGGGGCAGCCAAATGAAACGGCCGTGAAAACTGTGATTTGTTTCCACAGTGCACCGGACTCTGTTCATCATATATTCTCAACTCCTACTCCTTCTGCTTGGAACACTCCCGTCCCAAATCTTTTCCTAAGTAACCCTTACACAACCTTTACATTTTACTATCAAATGGCACCTGCCTGGCTTGCACCTGCTGTGCGCACCAATAATGCCCTCTCATCCACTCTCTCACCGTGTTAACTGTATTCTGCTGTAATCACCTGATTCCTTATTGTAATCCTCACTAGGCGATAAGGTCTTTAAGGGCATGAATGATGTTTCATTTGACATGTTGTCCTCCAGTGACCTCTGTACCTCTTCATCTGAACATTCCCATGGTAACAACTGCTATCACTGAATATACTCAAGCTTTGACATTTTAAAGTCAGGTATCTAATTTGCTTATCAAAACACATTATCCCACTATAGCTGCCAAAAAAAGTATGCAAAATATAAAATTTAGGAGGATACCACATTGATTCTGAGAAAATAAGAATTTTTCTGTTTGCACCTTGGAGAGAGTTGTGTAAGATCATGTGAATCCTATAAATTATTTGCATGGAAATCAAGAGGAATAGACTTGTGTTAAGTACAAAAAGATTGAAAATTTTCTAAGTTAACCAAAGTAAGTGGTTAGTTCACTTTTAGCTCCAATAAAACTATTCATTTATAAACCTAAAAAGAAAGAAAGAAAGAAAGAAAGAAAGAAAGAAAGAAAGAAAGAAAGAAAGAAAGAAAAAGAAAGAAAGAAAACTGTAATTTATTTGAAATCCACCTTCAGGTTAAGTTCAGCTTACCTCTGTGCTTTATAAACATTTTCCTTGAGAAAGAGAAGTTTAACATATGGTGACATCCAGTGTCACCAGAGTATCCAAAACAATAAAGAGTATCCAAAACAATGAGTATCTAAAAACAATGGACATTTCAGACATGCAGAACCTACCTGACGAATTTAAAGATGCATATTGCCTGTATGCCAAAAATCTAGTCTACCAAAAACAAGCCTGTAGATACCAAGGGGGTGACGTTTTTAGAGAGAGGGAAACTAATTGCTTAGAAGTCCAAAAACCTACTGCTGCTAAAAAGTAAAATCCTTTTCCATGCTCAGATTTGTCTATTGGTGGGATATCTAACAATGTCATTGCGCTGGACTGCCACCAGGGACCAATGTAAAAATCGGCTTGGTAAGAGGAGACCAGCAAGTCGGGTCTTGGAATGTGCTTAGTGTTAGTTACCATTACATTAAAGAGGGACATCCTAAAGCTAGAGGCACTTCAGAGAAGAAAATACAAAGTGCAAAATTCCCTACTTTATCATGGGACATAAACCCACCATTGTTAATTTTTATTAAATATAGGAAGTATCTGTTAACCTCATTATATTTACATTCAGCTTTTATAAGTTTTATATTTATGTATCTTAAGAATGCACAAGGGGGACACCCGAGTGGCTCAACCTTCAGCTCAGGGTGTGATCCTGGGTTCAGGGATCGAGTCCCACATAGGGCTTCCTATGAGGAGCCTGCTTCTCCTGCTTTGTCTCTGCCTCTCTCTGTGTGTCTCTCATGGATAAAAAAATAAAATCTAAAAAACAAAAATTCACAAGAAGGACACCTGGGTGGCTTAGTGGTGGAGCGTCTGCCTTTGGCTCAGGTTGTGATCCTGGAGACCCAGGATCGAGTCCCACGTTGGGCTCCCCACATGGAGCCTGCTTCTCCCTCTGCCTGTGTCTCTGTCTCTCTCTGTGTCTCTCATGTCCAAAACAGAGTAATTGAAGATAAGCTCAGTTAAGCTAGCCATTAATGTATAAATGAGGTAATTGTCAAGAAATAAAAATACTAATAAGTTTTGTTCATCTTTAAAATCTGCATTCAGAACTTTTATGGTATATTCTCTTTTTTAGTGAAAATACCTGGACGAGCTCCTGCTTGGCTTCTAAAAAGATATTTGAGGTAAGGGAACTCGAATTCTTCTACTATTCCTTTTCCTCTGACTTCTTTGATTTTGATTTTGAATTAAAGCAACAGGTAAAGGTAGCTTTTTTATAACAATTGGTAATTGATGTCTCCATAGTATCTGTGACTAGGCCAGTGTTCTACATAGCAGTGCTTATATAATATATGTTAAAGGATTTTGAGATTTCAGTATTCTCAAACTATCCCCAATGAATGCCTTAAAATTTACAATTAGATATTTCTACGTATTTGTCATTGCATTATCTGAGTTTCTCTTTAAAAAAAAATTCTGGCATAAGAGAATTATTTAGTATCCAATAATAATAATTGGATGACTATCAAATTATGACCTGTAATAGCAATTGGAACATTGGTCACATAGGGCTAATACTTGTACCTAAAAATTGGAAGACTAGAAAATGAATTCAGGGGACACCTGAGTAGCTCAGTGGTTGAGCATCTGCCTTTGGCTCAGGGCGTGATCCCAGGTCCTGGCATTGAGTCCCACATCAGGCTCCCCAGCAGGGAGCCTGCTTCTCCCTCTGCCTGTGTCTCTGCCTCTCTTCTCTGTGTCTTTCATGAATAAATAAATAAAATCTTAAGAAAGAGGAAGAAAATAAATAAATTCAGGGATCACATAGGTAAACTTTGTCTAAAACAGTCATTATATCACTAGCACCCTTGGCAAGTTTTCCTGTTCTTAGGAATAATGACATGGACAACCATCTGAACCATGGAATACTAAGTATCTGAGGATAGACTGAATTTGTCCAACAGAGAAAATGCTTTTTTCCTTCCTTTTTTTTAAAATATATTTTCTATTTATTTATGATAGTCACAGAGAGAGAGAGGCAGAGACACAGGAGAGGGGGAAGCAGGCTCCATGCACCGGGAGCCCGACGTGGGATTCGATCCCGGGTCTCCAGGATCGCGCCCTGGGCCAAAGGCAGGCGCCAAACCGCTGCACCACCCAGGGATCCCGCTTTTTTCCTTCTTTGGCTCTTGAGCTTCCTTGGCTCTTGGCTCTTGGCTCTAAGAGCTTTGTTTCTATTCAGTATAATGGGTTGTGTGGAAACATGTAGACTCTCCTGCCCCAGAAACCTACAGAATAGGTAAGAAGCCATCTTTAGGCATGCCTGTACTTAGATCTAGGATTGATCAAACTAATACAGTTTTTAAAAATATATTATTTATCATACCTATGGAAATAAACCAAACAATATATCAAAATAAGAGAAAATAGAAAAAGTATTAAAGTCACAAGATGTGAATTCTAGACCTGTCCCTCTTATTACCTGCGTGATCTTGAGCAAATAGCTTAACCATTCTGATTCCTTAACATTCCCTCTCTGATGTAAGATAGGTATAACATAGGCCATCTTGCCTTTATTATAGGACTGGTGAGATCTCTAAGTAAGATAATATCTGTAAGTCTCCTTTACATACTGTGAGGTGTAATATACAAATATGACATTACATTACTCTTGATTAGATAGTTCACTATTGACATTGAAATCAGAGTACCCAATTTCTTTCAGCTCCCAAAATATGATTCAGAGGCTCAGCAAAAACCAACACAGACAGTTGGAAACCAGTGAGAAGCCAATCCATGAAATAATTAAGCCCAAGAGCACAAACTTGTATGGAAGCTGTTTCAAAGTGACATCCTTCAAGTGTCCTATAAGCACACTAACTCCCAGCTGGACTGAGAAGACACAGATACCAACAGAAGGTATTTTTTTTATTGCTTAGGATTTTAATAAATACAAAGGTTGCTTTCACTATATCATCATTAATAAATCCTATGAAATTTGGCTAATGGGAACCCTTTTATAAACAGGATTAATAGCCATTTTATTCCTGATTCTGAAAAATACTTGCCTCCTTTAATTTCTATATGAGTTTTAAAAATAGTATTTAATACAGCTTTGAAAAAAATCTATTTAATTGACATATTCCCAATACCTTGTCATTGATACCTTCTCCACACCGTAGAATAAAAAAAGAAATGAACTGATACACATGACAGGGATGAATCTCAAAATCATTGTGCTGAGTACAAGAAGCCACACACAGAAGAGTAAATGCTATGTGAAATTCCACATATATAAAATGCAAACTAATATACAGAGACAACAATAAAACAGATAAAGCTTTCCTAATAGGAGAAGAGATAGAGTAGGAGATGAAGGGAAGAATGGACTAGAAAGGAACACAAGGAATCTCTTAACTATGATCTTTTCTAGTTCTTGAATGTGGTGATAATTTCACAATTGTTTATGACTGTCGAATTGCCAGAGTTTTAGTTTCCAGAGCAACTAGCTAGGTGGAGTTATCCTCTACTGAGATAGTAAAGGCTGAGGGCAGAGCAGCAATTGGGTTTAGACTTGTTTTTGAAATGCCTTTCAGACACTGAAGCAGAGGTAACTGAATAAGCAGTTGGATATATGAGTCTGGAGTTCCAGGAAGAGGCCTGGGCTGGATATACATTTAGGATATATCTTTTCAGATAAAGATAGGATTTTAGGGCAAGAACCTGGATGAGACTCTTAAAGTGAGGATGGGTATAGAAGAGGGTTAAGGAGCAAATCCTTGGAAATTCCAGTACTGATGGATCAGGAAAAGAATAAGAACCAACAAAGAAGCAGAAGGACCATCTTGTGGGTTAGGAGGAAAACTAAGAGGATGTGTTGTCCTGGAAGCTAAGTTAAGAAGATATATCAAGGAGAGGGTAATAATCAACTAAGTCTAGTGCTTCTGAATAAGTGAGATGAATTTACTATTGGATTTTACAGCATGGAAGTTTTATTCAGGATCTTGATCAGAGAAATTTCAGTAGAATGACAGAGGTACAGATCTAATTAAAGTGTATTTTAAAATAGGAAAGAGGGCAGCCCAGGGGGCTCAGCGGTTTAGCTCCTGCCTTCAGCCCAGGGCATGATCCTGGAGTCCCAGGATCGAGTCCCACGTCAGGCTCCCGGCATGGAGCCTGATTCTCCCTCTGCCTGTGTCTCTGCCTCTCTCCCTCTCTCTCCCATGAATAAATAAATAAAATCCTTGAAAAAAAAATAAAATAGGAAAGAGATTGGAGACAGGTAGTCTTCATGGAATTCTGTTGAAAAGGGAGATTTCTTTTTCAGTGTCCCCCACAGCTACTAAAAATTATGTTTCTCAACCTTTTCCAGCCTGTTCTGAGCTTTTTCATTGCTTCTTGATTACATTACCTTACAGGCATATGCCCCGGTGAATCTTAATGACGTATTAATAAAAACTCTTTTTTTTTTAACTGAACTAAGTCACTTCAAAAGGAGTTATCTTTTCCTAGTCTTGTGCGTTGTCCCTTTATTTACAGTATATGCATTTAGGGCTCTACATTTTCCTCTAAAATGTCCTAACTCTGTTAGCACTCAGTTTATTAGAGAAGAAATTCTGTCCTTTCCGATTACTGAACTTACCAAGTATGAACTGAGATGGATTCTATCAGAGATTAATGAAAGGTCCAGTCAGGCGTCTCCAGTTCTGGAAGAGTTTATATTTACTGATGAGTTATGGTACAGATACAGAGATTCAACTGACTGGGGAGAGCAGGGGAGGAGTCATAAATCCTAGCAGACAGATTTATATCCGAGTCATTTCTTCTTTAGGTTTGGTAAACACAAACACAGTACTCTTGTAGTACCCAGTCTTCTATTTAGCTAGACCAGCAGCACCCGGAAGTGAGTCATGGCATTCCAGGCATCATTACTATGTCCTCGGAACAGGCTTTACAGGCACAGGTAACCATTATAACCATTTCACCCAGCCAGTGATGGGTTCCAAATATTGAGCAAGAAGAAATCCAGTTATCGAAGCTGAATGATGGGTTTAAGAGGGAGTTTCTTATACTGTTCTCTCTTTTTTATGGAGCAGATATTGAAGTTTTTAAAATGAAGTCCAAATGAGTACTCTCCCAACTATCAGTGGTGCCCTAGATCTCCGGCCCAATCTCCTCAGTGACATAGTTCTGATCACTACCCTCTGTCTCACTTTCTCAAAATTTAGTCAACATTCACTTTTAATAATGGACAATTCCTTTTATAAAAAGCCTTACTGCGGAAAATTCAAACATAAACAAAAGTAGAGAGAATAAGCTGATCCATTGGGACCCATGACCCACCCTTAATAGTTATCAGCATCTTCCTATTCTTCTATCTATATTCCCACTACTCTTTATTTTTTTGCTAAAGTATTTAAAGCAAGTTCAGCAAATCACATTTTGTCCATAAATAGTTCAGTGTATAACTAAACCTTTTTTTTTTTACTAATCATAATCTGTTTCATGGTTTTATTCTAAATATATTCTTTTTCTTATGTTGTCTCCATACCGCCTCAGGCATTATAATTACAAGTAATCCCACCACATCCTTTAAGATGTCTAGTAGGCTTCCTTCAGGCTTTACTCAGGGTTTCTTTTTATCCCTCTTCTCTCTTCCTTAGTATATTGGATTTTTAAGAATTGTGTTAAAATACACGTGAAATAAAATTTACCATCTTAACTAATTTTAAGCGTAAAGTTCAGTGTTGTTAAGTACACTCACATTGTTGTGCACACAATCTCCAAAACTGAAACTCTATACCCATTAAACAACTCCCATTCCTCCTTCCTCCCAGCTCTTGGCAAATATCTACTTTGAATCTCTCTGACTTTAACTATTCTAGGTATCTCATATAAGTGGAATTAAATATTTGAAAGACAAACACATTATTTGTATTTGTCAAAATGTGACTGGAGAGATTTTTCATTTCTAGGAAAAAGAAATAGATGCAACTTCTAGCTCTTAGATTTATATTGATCTTTTTTACTGACTATAGAAAGAATGTATAACATGTAACTGAGTACATATTTATAGAATAAACAAGTAGGTTTTTAGAGAGAAGCAGAATTTTAGAGAACATTTACTTTAACTAGGTGTATAGATAAGGCAAATAAATAATGTATTTGTCTTTCCGTGACTTGTTTATTTCACTGAGCATAATGTCCTCAAGTTTTATCTATGGTAGAGGTGGAGTCAGAATTTCCTTCCTTGTTAAGGCTTCCACCTTTTTTGGCTCCTGTGAATTAAATAATGCTGCTTTTATGAATGTATACAAATAACTCTTTGAAACTCTGCTTTCAACTCTTTGGGGCATATACCTAGACATAGAATAACTATAGGATTCCAAAAATTCTATTTTCAATTTTTTGAGGAACCACCATACTGTTTTTCATAGTCACTGCACCATTTTACATTCTCACCAACAGTGCACCAGGGTTGTAATTTCTCCACATCCTTACCAACATTTGTTATCTTCTGTTTTTTTTTTATAGTAGTCTTACTAATGGAAGGGAGAGATAAACACTCTCTTTAGATGTTATTATAATAATTATCACAATTAACAAAATAAACAGTAATTCTTTCATATCTTGTAGTAAAGAAGGGATTTCCAACATGCATTTCCCATGGTTTTTCCCATATCTCCATCATTCTGTTTCCCAAGATCAGAAGCTTTGGAGTCAGCACTGATTCCTTTCTTCTCTCATCCCACACTAATTCATTAGAACAATCTCAAAATACAGGATTATATAACAGCAGGTTCCTGCTAAAACAAATCTTGGATCGTAACACTCCTCTGCTCAAAATCTTTCAGTAGCTCCCCATTTCACACTCAGTAAAATCAGTCTTTACAATGGCCTGTGTGAACTGAGTCCAGATTACCTATCTGAGCTGATATCTTAGCTCTTTCCAGTTAATTCAATCTGTTTTAGGCACTTGTGCCATCCTTTTTTGTATTATTATTGGAGTTCAATTTGCCAACATATAGCATATCACCCAGTGCTCATCCCGTCACCCAGTGCCCCCCTCAGTGCCCATCACCCAGTCACTCCAACCCCCCACCCATCTCCCTTTCCACTACTCTTTGTTCATTTCCCAGAGTTAGGAGTCCATCTTGATGATCCTTCAATACACTACCAGGCTCCTAGCTCAGGGCCTTTGCACTTAACTATTTTTCTTGCCTAGAATGCTCTTTTCCTCTGGTATCTGCTTGACTCACTCCCTAATTCCTTTGAAATGTCAGCTTCCCAGGGAGGCCTTGCCTAAACACCTTTAAAAAAAAATAGAAATCACTACCCACCCCACAAGAATTCTTTGTTCCCCTCCCCAGCTTTATTTTATCCTGTAAACTTTATCATTATCTGACATATGTTTTTATTTGCTATTTTCTGACCCTATAATTAAAATATAAGCTTCAAATGGATAAGAATTTTTAGATAGATCCTTGACATATGATGTTCAATAAATAATTGTTGCGCCAATTCAATTCATATATATATACAGATTTTTGTGGTTGCTCCCCAGATCTGCGTCACAACTTTAAAAGCAAAATGAAAGAAAGTACTCTCTTCCAGAGCAAGAAGACTGGCATAAATTGGACAGATGATGAAAAAAGAATCTACAGGGATAAAAGAATAGCTCAAACTCAAGAAATATTGCAGTATTTGCTCCCTAGCATGGAAAGCACTAAAAATGTGCAAACCCCTCAGATAAAACAAATACTCAATCCAAGAACTAACTTCCAAATTCAACATCAGTAAGTCAATACAATTTTATCATTCTCAGCTATGTAATGCCTTTTTTTTATAAGGAAGCAATGCTTATTACTTCATTATCCTAAGAAACAAAACATTTGCTCTTAAAAATGGTGGCAGCTGTACCACATTTGACAAAGCGACAAAAACCCAAAGCCATCAGAAAACACTGGATATGTGAAGGGAATAGGTTATCAGGCCTTATTTGATTGTTTATTTGCATGAAATCACTCATTAACTTGGATCTATGAGTAAAGTAGGCATGAATAAAAGTATAACTGTATCATGACTTCAGATTTCTCTGATGTGTTTAAGCCTTATAATCCTAGGGAGCTTAGGATTTATAACTTATTATAAGATTTATTTACTTACTTTAGAGAGAGAGAGTGAGGGTGGGGGGGAGACGGTGGGAGAATCTGAAGCAGACTCCCCACTGAGTGCAGAGCCTAATGCAGGGCTCCACCACACAACCCTGAGATCATGATCTGAGCTGAAACCAAGAGTCTAATTGACCATCCAGGTGCCCTGATGTTCATTTCGGTATTATTCATAAGAATCAAAGAGAGGGACGCCTGGGTGGCTCAGCAGTTGAGCATCTGCCTCTGGCTCAGGGCGTGATCCCAGAGTCCCAGGATCCAGTCCCACATTGGGCTCCCTGCACGGAGCCTGCTTCTCCCCCTGCCTGTGTCCTTGCCTCTCTCTGTGTGTGTCTCTCATGAATAAATAAATAAAATCTTAAAAAAAAAAGAGTCAAAGAGAAAGGAAAAGAAATGAACCTAAGTGTTCAACAATAGAAAATTGCTTAAATTATAGTACGTCCATAAAATGAAATATTACATAGCTATGAAATATTATAAATACAGATTAACGTGAGATAATGTTCACAATGCATAAGTGAACAAAAGCTATAGAACAACTTTGGTATGGTTGTATTTATAGACTATGTAAATATATAATGTGTGCATATTATACACATTCAAACACATATACACCTAGAAAAATCCCTGGTAGCACATAATCCCAACAATGATTATCTCTGGATAAAACACTGGCAGAGGATAATATTCCTCTTTATGCTTTTTCCCCTAAGTTTTGATTAATGCCTATTTTTTATAGTATAATCAGCAAAGTCAATAAAATTACAAGAATAGGCAATTGGTGACAGTTTCTAGTTAGAAGGGATAGCTATCATGCTGGAGAAGGCAGTGCCTTCCTAGTATTTACTAGGTCAACTAATATGGACAAAACAGATAAGCATAGGTCCAGGCAAACAAGGAATCAATCACACATGACAGTATCAGTAGACTCAAAACTCAGGAAACTAAAAACAAAATACAGTGGACCTAGGCAAAGGTGACAATTAAGACCTAGCCTGATTTTTAATCATTATTTTCGTGAGAAATTTCTTAGGGGCTGGAACTTAAATTGTTCTGTTCTTAACCAAAATGAATGAATCTACTGAACACTAATCAATATATTATCAAGATGACTTACATCTCTTTATCTCTGTCAAGCATTGGTCTGAATCAGATATTAAGGAATAAATCTCATATTTGGCATTCCATCTGTTAATGATAAAAATTCTTGAGAAGGACTATGCAGATCAAAATGTGACTGGAGAGATTTTTCATTTCTAGGAAGAAGAAATAGATGCAACTTCTAGCTCTTAGATTTATATTGCTCTTTAGAAAAATGTGTAACATATAACTGAGTACATTTTTATAGAATAAACAAGTAGGTTTTTAGAGAGAGGTGGAACTTTAGAGAACATTTACTTCAACTAGGTGTATAGATAAGGCACTGAGCCCCAGAGTGGCCATTGTATCAGGAAACTGGGGGTATCTCAATAAACATAGACTCTCAGCATTCAGAAGTACAAGATTGGGGTACTTCTGAAAAATCATGTCTAGAAATTAAAGGCTTAGATCATTCTCATAGAAATAATGGTAAAAGTCCTAAAGGAAGATGAATTCACCAAAGGATTTAAAAATATGACCTAAACTATGACAGATACCTAAGGACTACAAATACCTAGAGTACCTGACAAAAACTCATGTATTTCATTTCTTTCCTAGATTAAAGCCAGCTACTTACATAAATATAAGGAGATACAGCACATCCTGGATAGCACCCAGAAATCACCCTTTTATAAACCAAAGAAATCTAATGGTAAGCTCTCCGGAGTGGTTCCAGTCTATGTCCCAGAAGTCATTTGAAAGCCTTTCACCGCTCAAAGCACCCAAGAAGAAGAGAAAACATTCTCAAATCAAGGCCACAAAGACTAAAGACATGAAACCTCTCAGCTTCAAACAGGAGACTACTCCCTCAAATTTTAAAAAGGATGTGGATATTATCAAAGAAAAGAGTCTTCAAGCTGAAGAATCCAATAAGCAAAACTCTATGCAAATAGCTCCACATCCAACTGAAAATAGGGATGAACAACCAAATAAGAATCATGGACAATGCACCTTCTATTTGAAGTTCCAAACGGACAAATAATTTAACTTTATGCTGCTCTGAAAACTGCGGATGAAAAATACCATATGCTTACATAGTAAAAAGAAGAGGAAAAGAAAAAAAGAAACGCCTTCCCCATCCCTCTATTTCTCCCCTTACACATACATATGCATATACTAAACTACAAATTCTAGATAACCCATCTTCTTTAGTGGCAACATCTTTCAGAGATTTAAAAAGAAATCCAGAGAAAATACAGAAAATTTCAAATCACTTATTTATATTTAATTTTTGTCAAGATGGAAAAAAATCTATGAACTTTTGAATTCTCTCAAAACAACTTGTACATAGAACACCAAACAACTAAGAACTCAAGGACGGAATGATATGTATTATCAATTACTTTAACATCCCTGGTAGGAACTTAATGAATCAGTCAACAAACATCTTTTCTTGAATTTGTTTTATCTTTAGTGTGCTAGAAACTATCAATGATATAAAAGACATTTGACATTTCTCCCCACTAGAAGACTACTGTTTAATTGTATATAAAACACACAAGACTAAAATAATTACAGAATAAGATGATGCATAAAGTGCTAAGTTGTACACCTTCAACAGTTAAAATGCTATATACTGTTCATTGCACAGAACAAAAGTGTCACAAAATAGCACTGAAATGCATAATTATGGTTTACAAGGGTCATTTTACTTTTCAAAATGTAGCAACAATGTAAAAGATTAGATGTGCAGTTTGCTTTCGAGCTGTTGAATGTACATCTGCAGCCATTTATTCATGCGAAAGCAAATGGAGCATCTCACGGTCTGTCATTCATAATGAATTCCAGAATCCATTATGAATGGAATTCCAGAATTCCACCATTATGGAATTCCTCAAAGACACTGCAGAGAAATTGGTATGTCAGTCAAACAAATCAAGATGGATGTGATAAGTGAGAAAATGAGTCACAGGTCAACAGTGGTGTCCATTATAGGATAAGGCTAAGCAGAGAGAGAATCAGGTAGAGGAGGAGGCACATGAAAGTAAGTTACAGGCTACAAGTCTAATTAGGCCATGGTAGCAGGATGGAACTGGGAAAATCTAAGGTTGGGTAGTCTACTCTCAATAATTCCAATTGAAGCCCCAAAGAGGATTCAAGGAGAGCTCACTGGGGTGGTATTAAAAAAGTAACTGCCATGTTTTTGGTTTTGTTTTATTTTGGGTTTTAATAAAGTTTAGTTTTTAGAGAAGGTTCACAGCAAGACTGAGTAGGAAGTATAGAGATTTCCCATAAACTCCTTGACACTCACATATACATAGCCTCCCCGTTATCACCATGGCCCACCATTTGTTACAACTAATGAACTTACACTGATACATCCTTACCATCCAAAGCCCGTAGTTTATAGTAGAGTTTACTCTTAATGTACATTCTGTGGGTTTGGACAAATGTCTAATGAAATATATCCATCATTAAAGTATCATACAGAGTAGTTTTATTTATATTCACTGCCCTAAATATTCTGCATATACATCTTTCTCTCCCCACTAAGCCCTGGCAACTCACTTTGTTACTGTCTCTACAGTTTAACCTTCTCCAAAATATCACATAGTTGGAATCACAATATGTGTAGCCTTTTCAGATTGGCGTATTTCACTAGTAATATGCATGTAAATTCCATCATATCTTTTCATGGCTTAATAGTTCATTTGTTTATAATGTTGAATAATTATAATCTATAATGTCATTGTCAATAAAATGTAAAACTTCTGGCAGTGTTAACTAAGGAAAAAAAAAGACAAATTAATATCAAATAAAAGAGAGACCATCAGTGCTGATTCCATAGACATTAAAAGATTAATAAAAGGATATTCCAAACAACTCTCTACCCACAAATCGGTTAACCTATATGAAATGGACCAATTCTCTGAAAGACACAACCTGCCAGAATTCATACAAGAAGAAACAGACTAGCTGAATAGGCATATGTCAACTAAAGAAATTGAATCAATAAGTTGCCAAAAGGGAAATCATCAGACCCCAATGGGTTGACTGAATTCTACAAAAATTTTAAGACATTACACCAAATCTCTACAATTCTAACAGAAGATAGAAGCAGAGAGGATGATTTCCGAATAGTGTATGGAATTTAAAAATGATGTGGCCACTTTGAAAGACAGTTTGGCAGTTTCTTACAAAACTAAACATACTCTTCATGTAGGATCCAGCAGTCACAGTCCTTGGTCAGAGTAAAGGATTTGAAACCTATGTCCACAGAAAAACTTGCACGTGGATGTCATTAGCAGATCTATTCATAAGTGCCAAAACCTGAAAGAAACCAAGATACCCTTTAGTAGTGGAATGGCAAATAAACTGTGGTGCATCCAGACAATGGATTATTTAGCACTAGAAAGAAATGAGCTATCAAGTCATGAAAAGACATTTGTATTGCTACCCATTTATAAAAGTGAATGAAGGTGTCCAATTCCATCCATTATCAAAAACCTGGTAATGGACTAACCTACCCTCTGTAAAACCAAATCATCTACATAAAATAATTGATTTCAGGCAATAGATGGTGAATAGTGCAGGACGGCGATGCTTGTGAGAAGGCATATATGGGATAAACTCCATATTCACTCCCACCTTTCTCTCTAGAGGCATTTTTTCCAAACCCTTGTTCTGAGAAGTGGAACCCAACAATCTTACTGGCCAGAGTTTGAATCTGCTATTATAACTGAAATTTGGAGGCAGAGTACTGAAAAAGAATGAACCACAGAAAAGTAGCCCCTAAACTATGTAGAAGTTCCCATCAGGTTCTTGACCATATCCTAAGATGTTTATGTAAAGGCAAGAGTATGGTAAACAGAGTAGAAAAGAGTCCTGGCAGACACTGAAGTTCCAACCCAGAATATAGAGACCTTGGTGAAAATCCTCAACATTGAATTGAAACCCCAGAAAAACCATGTCCTGTGAGTAAAGACCATGCATAGGAGCAAGGGCTATATCCTAGGACTAAGGACAAAATTGGAATAGAACACTCTAACAAAGATTAAAATAAAGATAATCTGCTAGTAATACAAATTCTGCCAGAAAAAAACTAAACATTCTTTGAAGATAACATAATCCAGCCCTTCTACAATGTATCAAAACACCTTGTCTGGCATGTAAAATTAGGAGATAGGAAAAAAAAAGTGACCAATAGTCAAGAGAGAAAGCAGACAGAAGCAGACCCAGAGATAATTCAGTAAATGGAGTTAACAGAAAAAGACTTCCAAATGATCATTATGTTAAAAATTACACATTAAAGGTAAAATCAATGAAAACATGGAGCATTTCAACACAGAATTAGGCTTTATTTTTATTTAAACTAAACATATTATTGGTTTCAGAGGTAGAGGTCAATATTTCATCAGTCTTATAAAACACCCAATGCTCATTACATCATGTGCCCTAAGGCTTAATGCCCCTCACCCAGTACCTTGTCCTCCCACCCTCCCCTCCAGCAACACTGAGTTTGTTTCCTATGATTAAGAGTCTCTTATGGTTTGTCTCCCTCTCTGATTTTGTCTTATTTTTTCCTCTCTTCCTCTATGATCCTGTTTCCTAGTTCCACATATAAATGAGATCATATGATAATTGTCTTTCTCTGATTGATTTATTTTGCTTAGCATAATATCCTCTAGTTCCTGTCACATCATTGCAAATGACAGGATTTCTTTTTCTTTTTTTTGATGGCTAATAGTATTCCATTGTATTTCTATACCAAATCTTTATCCATTCATCTGTCAATGGACGTTTGGGCTCTTTACATAGTTGGCTATTGTGGACATTGCTGCTATAAACATTGGGATGCAGGTGCCCCTTTGGATGACTAAATGTGTATCTTTGTGGTAAATACCTAGTAGTGCAATTGCTGAATCATAAGGTAGTTCTATTTTCAACTTTTTGAGGAATCTCCATACTGTTTTTTGGAGTGGCTGCACCAGCGTGCATTGCCACCAATAGTGTATGAGGGTTCCCTTTTCTCTGCATCCTCACCAACATCTGTCATTTCCTGGCTTGTTAATTTAGCCATTCTGACAGGTGTGAGGTGGTATCTCATCATGGTTTTGATTTATATTTCCTTGATGCCGAGTGATGTTGAGCATTTTTTCATGTGTCTGTTGTCCGTTAGTATGTCTTCTTTGGAGAAATGGCTATTCATGTCTTCTGCCCATTTCTTGATTGGATTATTCTTTGGTGATTGAGTCTGATAAGTCATTTGCAAATATCTTCTCCCATTCTGTCGGTTGACTTTGTTTCGTCAACTGTTGCCATTGCTGTTGAAAAGCTGCTTATGTTGATGAAGTCCCAATAGTTCATTTTTGCCTTTGTTTCCCTTGCTTTTGGAGATGTGTCTAGCAGAAGTTGCTAGTAATACAAATTACTTACTTACAGCAAGAAGTTGCTGTAGTCAGGGCATAAAGGTTGCTGCCTGAGTTCTCCTCTAGGATTTTGATGGATTCCTATCTCACATATAGGTCTTTCATCCATGTTGAGTCTATTTTTGTGTATGGTGTGAGGAAATAGTATGGTTTCACTCTTCTGCGTGTGGCTGTCCAATTTTCCCAACACTGTTTATTGAAGAGACTTTTTTAGGATAGTCTTTCCTGCTTTGTCAGAGATTACTTGGCCATAGAGCTGAGGATCCATTTCTGGGTTCTATATTGATCTATGTGTCTGTTTTTGTGCCAGTACCACATTGTCTTGATGATTATAGAGCTCGAAGTCTGGAATTGTGATGCCACTGGTTTTGGTTTTCTTTTTCAACATTCCTTTGGTTATTCAGGGTCTTTTCTGGTTCCATACAAATTTTAGGATTATTTGTTCCAACTCTGTGAAATAAGTTGATGGTATTTTGATAGGGATTGAACATATAGATTGCTCTAGGTAGCAAAGACATTTTAACAATTTTGTTCTTCCAATGAGAATTAGGCTTTAAGAAAGAATCAAATTGACATACTATATCTGAAATTAATCATTCATTACATAGGTTTAACAACAGGCTAGAAAGAACAGAAGACCAAATAAGTTTTAAGACTGGTCAGCAGAAGCTATCTAGAATAAAACTTAGAAACTTAAAAAAAAAAAAAGGCCAGAATAGAGGGTAAGAGACACTCAGGATAGGGAGTCTCTAACTCTTAATGTGTAACAGTTCCAGAAGGAGAAGAGTAAAGAGAATGAGATAAGCAATATTTGAAGAAATCTGCTGAAGTGAAGCTCAGCAGAGTTTAAGCAGGATAAATACAAAGAAAACCATACCTAAACACATCATAGTCAAGCTGGTAAAAACCAAAGATAAAAGAAAAATTGTAACAGCAGCTAGAGGGTGGGGGGAAGCTACATTTCATACAAGTGAAAAACTGTAAGAATTGGATCTGATTTCTTTACAGAAACTATTGAAACCAGAGGAAAATGGAATTGCAAACTGAAAGGAAACTGACAACCTGAAATTCTAGGTAAAAAAAAAAAAAATCCTTTAGGGACACCTGGGTGCCTCAGCAGTTCAGTGTCTGCCTTCGGCTTAGGGCGTGATCCCGGGGTTCAGGTATCGAGTCCCACATGGGGTTCCCTGCAGGGAGCCTGAGTCTCCCTCTGCCTGTGTCTCTGCCTCTCTCTGTGTCTCTCATGAATAAATAAATAAAATCTTTTTTAAAAAATTCTTTAAAAAATCGAGGCCACTATGAAAGAGGAGGGCTGAGTATCTACTGTGACACCATCCTCTTGGCAAACATGACTCAGATTCTATATCATCTTTGAGTCCCCATACAGGGCAGCAATGATGTCTGGAGGAGCTGGGGTCCTGAAGTTGTCACCAATCTAGCTCAGGCAAAGGGCTTTCTAAGATGAAACAAACCATGAGAGACCCCTAACTCTGGGAAACGAACAAGGGGTAGCAGAAGGGGAGGTGGGTGGGGGGATGGGGTGACTGGGTGACGGGCGCTGAGGGGGGCACTTGGCGGGATGAGCCCTGGGTGTTATTCTATATGCTGGCAAATTGAACACCAATAAAAAATAAATTTATATTTTAAAAAAAAAAACACCCAGTGCTCATCACAAGTGCCCTCCTTAATGGCCATCACCTATTTAACCCACGCCCCACCTCCCCATCAGCAACCTCAGCTTGTTCTCTATAGTCAAGAGCCTGTTTCCTGGTTTCAAATAAATTATAAACAATTATCACTTGACTAAACATTGGCCATCTTCACCCCCTCATCTTTAAGCCTGGCAAGTGCCTCTATTCTCCACAATAACAGGTGGGCCAAACTCCCCCCACCGGTCTCTGCTGATTGTTCCTCCTAGAGCTAAAGGCTGTGTGGAGAAAATTGCTCATGGCAGCATCCTGGGTGATGGATAAGAGCGGCTCTGGGCCTCAGTCTGCTGGAGAGATACTAGGACAGTGAGATTCTGTAGAGGGAAACAGGATAGCAAATTCAGCTGAGAGAACAATATGCTTCCTCCAAAGAGGTAACCACAGGTCTTAAGATGACTCTGTGCTGACGATGGCAGCATGTGACAGAAGGAGCCTGGGTCGATGAGTCACCTCACCAAGAGCGCTTGGACTCCACTGCAGCAGAGCTCCACTGAAAAAAAACAGGAAATGTTAAGATACAAGCAGTTCTCCTGGATTCTTAACAGTGAAGCAACCCCTCTGGTGAGTCCCTTGGCCCCTCCGACCCAGCTTGTCTGCACTGACCAGACACAGGCTCACACAAGCCTACAGGGAAGGGAGATCCTTGTGACCTTGACAAGTATTATCTGGCTTCGAACCTGCAGAAGGAAACTAACTCAGAAGAAGGAGGCTCACCCCAGAATATGGGCCCAGGAGTCCTGTACTACACACGTCTCCCCATGCATGCCGAGGAGGTAGGTTATAGCGCGCCGCTACTTGGATCCTCTAGGTTTTGCATAGTGTCAGGTGGGGCCTACAGTGGCCAGAGCTTGTGGGTTAATCTCCTCTAGCTGCAATTAGCGTTTTTATATTTCCCTCAGTGCACAATACAAAATGGACTGTGTGTGTGTGTGTGTGTGTGTGTGTAGCAGCAAAGTTGGGGTGTAGCATTTTAATCAACCGGGCCTCCCTTCTCTGCTTTACTGCTAGTCTGGCTTGGGTTGGAAGGCTCTAGTCTGTTTTAGAAATAGAATACTCCACAGAGTTCCAAGCAGATAGTTGTGGTCCACCGGACACCAATAACAAGCAACAAGCTTCAGTGGCCCTGCAGCCATGAGCATCTCTGGACTACCACAAAAATATCTTTCCAGCTTGGTACTAGAGCAGGGCTCCGGTGGTAGTATTTGACTACTTGAGACCAAGCCCTTTGGGGTTTCCCTTCAGTATACGCTGCTCTGATTTTTTTAAAATTTTTAATAAGAAGCCACCATACTTTAAGGAATATGAAAGAGGTAGCCAAATGCTCTTCTGTCCTAGTTGAAGAACATTGTTATGTCAGTGAAAAGATTAAATGAGTTTATACAAGGCTGTGGATCTCTTGAGTCACCTCTCGTAGAGGCCAGTCCTCTGAAGGTACAAACTGGCAGCACTTAAGAGAAATGTGAATAGGATGACCTCTTCACTTGAGGACCCAGGAGACCTCTCAAAAATGAATCAAAGAGTGAGCTCCCCAAACTGCCATGTTATTATGTGATAATGTCTGTTCTTTAAGAACAGACAAGATCCTGGCAACTGGGTGGCTGAGTTGATTAAGCATCCAACTCTTGGTTTCAGTTCAGGTCATGATCTCAGGATTGTGGGATCGAGCCCTGTGGCAGGCTTCGCACTCAGTGGGGAATCTGCTGGAGATTCTCTCTCTCCCTCTCTGCCTCCTCCACTTACTCCTGTGCACAAACACGCGCTCTCTCAAATGAATAAACAAATAAATAAATGAACATATATGCTCAAAGAGGGATTGAAACCCTTCCAAGGAGCCCATAAAATCTCTGTGCTCAGGTGGTAAGTTAACCTACTCTTTAGAGAAAATCCCTCAGATGATGGCAACTCCCCCTTTTTCCCAAAGGAAAAGAGGACAGTTAGGCCATGAATTCACAGGGACCCAGGGTCACATGCAGGTCTAACTCAGACATCAATGCAGCTGACCCCTGAACATCCACACCCATGGCAGGACATCTGCTTTTTTTCTCTTCAAAAGTAATTTAGATTTCAAGTCCACAATACATAACTACTATCTATAATCACCATGCTGTCCATTAGTCCCCAGAATCATCTTATAAACTGAAAGACTATATCATTTGATCAAATCTCCCCTTTTTCCCCTCAACCCAGCCTCTGATAAACTCAGCTATATTCTATGTTATTGTGGGTTTGATTTTTTTTTTTTTTTTTTTTTAGATTTCATACATGAGATCCTGCTGTATTAGTCTGTGTCTGGTTTATTTCATTTAGTATAATGTCCTCCAGTTTTTGCAACTGTTATTGCAAAAGCAGGATCCATGTTATTGCAAAAGCAGGATTTCTTTCTCATGGCTGAGTGATATCTCAATATATATAAGGATATAGATTATATAATATAGAATCACATTTTCTTAATTAATCTGTCAGTTTGCTTAGAAAGTAGATCTCAAGTGTTACCACCCCCCAAAAAAATAAGTCAAGTGATGGATATATTAACTAACTTGATTTAGTAATCATTCCACAATGTATATGTATATTAAATTATGTTATATACTTTAATTTTTTTTTTATTTATTTATGATAGTCACACACACACACACACAGAGAGAGAGAGGCAGAGACACAGGCAGAGGGAGAAGCAGGCTCCATGCACCGGGAGCCCGACGTGGGATTCGATCCAGGGTCTCCAGGATCGAGCCCTGGGCCAAAGGCAGGCGCCAAACCGCTGCGCCACCCAGGGATCCCCCTTTTTTTTTTTAATTTTTTTTTTTTGTTATATACTTTAAATATATGCAAGATTTGTCATTCAGAGTACAGCTGGAAAAAAAACATTAAAAAAGCAATTTAGATTTACCTCTGTTGAACACTTTAATTGCTGCTATTTTTTGTTTGCTCTTAATTGATGTTTAATAGAATTATAACTCCTGAGAGCATTTTTAAAATATAGGTGGGTTTAACTTAATTATGATACATTATTTTTCTTTCATTGAGTCCCCTAGAATGAAAGGATGTAAATATTGCATCTTTACTATTATTTAAACCATCATTGACAGTTTATAAAACCAGGCAGGCTATTTGAGGGAGGGGGTGGAGATTATTTCAATATATCATTAGAAATCTGTAAAAGTAGCTTAATATTTACCCAAGAAACTTTATTGGTAATATTAGTTTTAACACAATGAAAAACTGGAACAGTAAAGACATCAGAGTTAAACTTATCAGTATTTTTATCAGTTCTAAATTCATAGATTAAAGGACTTGCAAGTTACAACCATTTGTTTCTTATTTTGTAATTTTCTGAAATTTGTAATTTCTGATTTGTTCATGTATTCAACACTTAAATATCCTTAGACTTTATTCAGTTAATTTGCAGGTTGGATTGGTGTTAAGTACATAGAAGTCCAAGCAAACAAAGAATTAAGGCAATTATCATCTTCAGGGAAGATTAACAGTTACATGGGGAAGGAAAAAAAAAAGTCACAATTTTTTACGTGGTTCCCCTACTGTGTGTTATATTTGCAGACCTTGAATACTGATTTAAACAAAATCTTCAGGGGATCCCTGGGTGGCTCAGCGGTTTAGCACCTGCCTTTGGCCCAGGGTGTGACCCTGGAGTCCCAGGATCCAGTCCCACGTCAGGCTCCCGGCCTGGAGCCTGCTTCTCTCTCTCTCTATCATAAATAAATAAATCTTTAAAAATATAAATAAACAAAATCTTCATATACCCAGTCTGGAAGGAGGAGGAAGATAAGACCCGTTTGAGACACATGGAGTCTGGGAGAAGAAATTAAATCTTCATCTGTTACAGTTGAGAGTCAATAGATTATACCTGAAACTGGAAAACCAGGAGGGCCGGATACAAGCAGGTTAATCCTGAGAAGTGACCTAAGGGATCCCGCTCAAACAGGTGCAACTATTTGCCTCTGGAGGAGAAGGGAGAGCTTGCGATTGCGGCTTTTCATAAGGAACTCCAGAGAACTGTTGGGTTCTTTTGAAACAATGGGCGTTATATTCAAGCACATTTTTTAAAATGTTTTTCTGTCTCTTGTAGACTACATCACTGTGCTCACCGGCACTCCATTTTCACAGGAACTATTTTATCTAGATGTGCCAGAAGGTTAATTTTGTCTCTGCCTTGAAGGGCAGTATCACTAAGTATTTAGAAATCCTGCTTTTAATCTTCACGGGGGCCATCACCGTGCACCCAGCACTGGCACCCAGCACTCGGCACCCAGCACCCGCACGTTATCTCCAGTTTGCACAGCAGCCAGGGCGGGTAGGCACTGTTTCCGTTTCACAGGTGGGACTCCGATGCCGATGCTCAGCTCGGTGAGCTACTTTGCTCGCCTGTAGCAGGGAGGCCTGACCCCAGAGCCTCTCTTTCTCCTGGCAGACCTCGGCTTTCTAGGGTCTGGGTTCGAGAGAACTGCACGGGGGAAGAAATGGCCTGGGGAGGTGGGGGGGCTCCGGTTCGGCGACCCGAGCCAGCCCCGCTCCCACCTGGACCTCGCAGCCGCTCCCGTGCGCCAGGAAGCCCGCGGGGACGGGAGGGGAGCCCCCCAGCAGCGGCCCCGCGCCCACCTCGAGGTGTCGGGGTGCCGGCCCGGGGAAGCCCGCGGCCGCAGGTCTGGGGCCGGTTTCCGCGGGGGCTGGGGGGGTGGGGGGGCGGCGGGGGCCGAGCAGGTGCAGCGGGGCGCGGGGCGCGGGACGGGCGTCCGGCACAGCGGCAGCCTCAGGACGGCCCCTCCTCTGCGAAGTCACGAGCCCCCGGCAGCGGGGAAATGAAAGTGAAATCAGCGGGGGGCGGGGGCGGGGGCGGGGGCAGCGGCGGCACCCTCGCTCGGCTCCACCGCCCCGAGCTCTCGCGGGGCACCGGCCCCCCCGCCGCCGCCGCCGCCGCCGCCGCCCCCGGGAGCGCGGCCCCGACCCCACCGGGAGGAAGCGGAGACCCGCCCCCGCGCGGCCTCTTCGGAGCGTAAGTACCGGCCCCGCGGCCGCTCCGCCCCTCGCCCCCCCGCCCCGGGCGCCGGCCCCACCGCAGCCCCCGCAGCAGCGCCCGGCGCCCCGGCCCGGAGCCTCTCCAGGTACACGACGCGCCCGCCCCCTCCCCATTCGAGTTCGGCTGCTGCTTCTGTTGCCTCGATGACTTCCATGAGACTGACTCACCTGCGGAGCCAGGGGCCCCCTCGGGGAAGAAGGCGCGCGCACACAGCTGCTGTGCACCTCGCAGCACCTCGTCCCCGCTCCATCCCTCCCCAGGCCCCGGGCCTGAGCCGCAGCAGGTAGGACGACCCCGGATCCCGCCCGCCCCTACTCCCTGCCGGCGTCCTCCGCAGCCACGCCGGCCTCATCTTACCTCGTCGTGAAGGCTCTTTGCTGCGTTTCACTTTTACAGAAACACGTGATTCTGGAACTATTTCTCACGCAGAAAGAGAACAACTGTCCGTGGTGCCACCCCGGGGATGGGTGTCACGGCCTCCCGCCGAGGCTTGACTATGCTTCCTTCGGCTCTTTCTCCAGTCCTGCCACCTAGGGCGGTTCTAGCCCGGCCTTCCTCGAGTCTGCAAGACTCCCGTCGCCTTGACCTGCCGTAGTTGCCGTCCGGTGGCAGGCACTCAAGTTCCTTCACACCTTTTGCCGAATTCTGTGCTGCGCATTCCTGTACATAACTCACGGATTGCATCTCCGTGAACTCCTAAGTGGAAGGAGTAGGCCAACAAGATAGGACGATGTTGAGGGGCTTCTGTGCGTATGGTCAGGTGGCCGCCTGGAAAGCTTGCACGAGTGTTTGACCACCACTTGTGCCACCACCTCCCCCCCCCCCCCCCCGTGACCGTGACCATAGGAACACGCCGCTTCCCACACGCTCGCTGTCAGCCACTTTCACCTGCAGTTTGATAGGAAAACTCAGAGGTTATTTGACTTGGCATATCTTTGCTTATATTACCAAAGGTATAGACTTTTTTCATGTTAGCTCATGAGATCTAGTGATTTGTGCAAGAAGGTGATGTATTTGGCCTTTCTCCTCTTGGCACGGAGCTCCCCAAACCCTTGGAATTTCCTAAGTGATAATAGACAACAGTGTCTTTAGTCGTAACAAACTCCTTTCAACCAGATCTGGATTTAGGTTGATGAACTGAATTTTGACAAGTCCCTGCAGATGGGGTTTGGTCACCAGGGGAGGCCACCTTGGGATTAGAGGGGAACTTCCTAGAGCCTCACCCCACAACCCGTGGGGAGGCAGGCTGGCTGGACATTTAGTCACCCACACCCAGTGATGTCATCCTTCGAGCCAGGTCATGAAGCCTCCTCTGGAGGTGGGGAGGTGGCTCTCTTGGGACTAAGCCCTTTGCCCTTGGGACCTGGCACTCTCTTCGAGTGGATAGTGTCAGAATTCAGGTAAATAGGACACCAGCTAGTGTCACAGAGAATCGCTCGGTGGAGGGAAGCTCCCACACATCTGATAAAAGGTACCTACTTTGGCGGACCTCTTCTGGAACGTCTTCACATCTTTGTCCTTTTCTATGGGGGTTAATGTTTTCCTTATCTGTTTGTATGAACAGCAGGTGTATTAGTAATATGGATCATTTCATGTTTACTGCAGATATTTGCCACACTCACCGACTTGTAACTTTATTATATTGCCTTTGCTGTATGGAAATGTATCTTCCTAAGCAGTTAAATCTGTACGACTTTTTTGTGACTTCAGTTTGCTCTTAAGTTCAAAGTGCTCTTTCCCGTTTGCAAGTCAGATCTTGATTTTTTTCCAGATCTTTCCTTTCTGTCCTCAGTTCACATTTCACGCTTGGATTCACATGAAATTTACTTTGGTGTGTGGCGTGAGATGAGGACTTAAACTAGTTTTGTTTTCAGTTAGCTCATCGCTTTCGCACGGGTTAATGGAAAACCTTCCACTGGACTAGACTGCCACTTTTATCACATATTAACTATGAAGTTAGCATAGTTATGAACTATGTGTGGCTTTTCTGAGATCCTCTACTCTTGAGCTGTCCATCCTCGTACCCCGGGTCGGGGGGCGGATTACTACCATTCTGGAGGTTTGGGCCCAGTTTCCCCCATCTTTTCTAGGAATCTACCTGGGATCTGTATTACTTTAGTTCAGTGACTCTGGCCTGCTGTCGGCCTCAGAATGGTATATTTTCAAATGATTTAATAAGTGTGACAAATACCTGCAAATTTAATCGTTGAATACATGGACAGCACGTTCTCTTTAGCAACTGAGCTTGACGGGTGCTGTGCAGGCAGGGAACCAGGCCTTGGGCCGGGCCCCATGCAGCCCCGCCTGTGGTGGCAGTCCACAGGGGATTCGTTTTTTCAGCCCAAACCTAGACTTCAACAGACTTTGGGAGGTGATCCCGAGATGCCCAGCGTTTTTGTGAGGAGAGCCACCTTCCGTGTGGGTGGCAGCAGTAGGGGGGTGGGGGTGCTAACCGGGCAGAGGGCGGGAAGGAACAGCCCATGCCAGCCCTGAGACTGACGTTTCCTGAGCTTCCCAAATACTGGCCCCGAAGGCTGGAGGGGAGGGGGAGGCCGCACAGCATCATGACTCCATTTGGCAGGATTTGCTTTCTTGGGAGTTACTTGGGTGCATCTTGGAGCCCTTTTGGATGCATTACAAACTCGCCACGGAGCAACCATGTGCTCCTGTGTGAGGATAGAGGTCAGGTTCCTGGGAACCTGGATCATCTCTCCAGCCAACTGTCTACAAACCTCTTGCAAAATTTAAGATCTAGGTCTTAGTGACTGTTCCTCTCTACCTCCTCCTCCTCTCGGGTGCAGCTACCTCCATTCAGGGAGGCCTTGGTGCTTCCCGCAGGGTTAGTTGGCAGCATGGGAGTGAGGTCACCCCGGGCCTCTGCCCCGCCTGTGCCCTCAGCCTGCTGCCTGGGAGCCCAGCTCCCTGTGTGCACAGGGACAGGCGTTAACGGGACACTCAGAAGATTATATTCCGCACCTCTCACCCTGACCTACAAGGCCCTAAGTGACCTGGGTCCACTCACCCGCCAGGCCTCATCTCAGTCATGGGGCTGTAGCCACCCCGGCCCTGGAAATCAGCTCCTCTCCCAACCGCGTGTTTATGACAACTGCTATCTCTTCCTGGAAGGCTCTGCCCCTGGCCCCACTCAGGGTGGCTCTTTCTCACCCCTCAGGCCTCAAACCCAACGTCTCCTCCACGTGCAGGCCTTCCCTGATCCACTGAGGGAGACGAATGGCTTCCTCCTGTCACCTTCTCTCCTTTACTTCATCCTGTTTATTTCCTTCCCACATCGTTTTTAAAAATCACAATTATCTTTTTAAAAGTATACCATTGGCGTTGGTCTCCCCAACGAGAAGGCAGGCTCGGTGAAGCCAGGCCCCTGGTTTGCCCCGATTGCCAGATTCCAGAAGGCCTACAGCAGAGGGAACCATCCAGAAGGTGCCATTAATGGGGTCAGAAGGTGGGACCCCCGGCCTCCTCAGTAGGAAGGGGGGTGTGACTCTCCCTGGGGAGTCGGGGAGAGGGCCGGCCGGGCAGGAGGACCATGAGCAGCCCTAGTCTCCAGGACTACTTGCCTCCAGACTGTGCATCGGGTCCTGTGAACCCCAACCTCGGCCTCCCGCCAACTAGACTAGCAGGGGAGCCCCACCACAAGGACCAGATGGGAGGGGTCCGAGGTGCAGGCATGGACTCAGGGAGAAGAACCGTGTCTCCCTCTGAATTATTTTCCAGCCCTGCCTGCAGCTGGATCACCTGCTTGCGAGGGCTGGTACCTGGCAAAACAAATGAGCAGAAAGCAAATGAACATCAACAGAGCCACTGAGACAGGCCCCCTCTCGGTGTCATGGGGCTCTAGGGGCCCATGATTTTGACCCTACGGGGTGGGGGGGGGGTGGCGGGCAGCCTCGTGGTGTCCTAGTGTTTCTGCCGGTGAAGCTGCTATTGTTTACGTGCAGAATTGAGTAAGTCAAATCAGCCTGCGTGGGAGGCTGGCCTGGGGCCTCGAACCCGGGCGCTGCCCCCGCCCCCTCTGAACAGTAGGAACCCGGGCTCATATTTCAGCCAAAGGAAATATGACACATTTCCCCTTCTTCTTCCCTTTTATTTGTGTCAGAGCCACACCCAGACCATGACCACACTGCTCCTGTGTCCGGCCAGGGAGAGGAACCCGGCCTCGGCCTCTGCTCACCGCACAGTGCTCAGCCCGCCCAACCCTGTCCCACCCGTCCTCTGGCTCTATTCCCCCTGCAGGTCCTCCCCCTCTCTCTGCTCCTGCTGCACTCCCAGCTCCCTTCCTCCACCTGCCCCCACCTTCCTTTTCACCCCAATCCCACGTAGGGACAGGATTCCCGCTCCCACCCCAGGCACAGGCCCGCAGCGCCTTCCAGAAGGGATGCAGTGGGTGGGGGGGGGGGCGCTCCGAGGCCCATGCGGACCCCACGGCCCCAGCCCTGGCCTTCCCTTCTCTGACTTCCAGTTTCCTCTCGGTGATGACAGTGACGGAGCTAGTGCTTCCTAGATACCGCTCCCCGGGCCACACACCATCATCTCACTCAGTTCCTAGGACGCCTCCAGAACCAGTTCCAGTGGACTCGCTTTACGCTGACAATGCTGGGCCCTGGGAAGTGAAGGACCGCAGCAGGTAAAGGGCAGACCTGGGACTTGAACCCAGAGCCCCGATTCCACATGTCTCCGGATGGCAGTGCCTGGCAGGCCTGCTGGCGGCTCCATGGACACAGGTCCGTAGTCGTTACGGCCTCCTGCCAGACGGGTGTCACTGTCCACTGGCCCGGGGGCTTGGGGACCTTCCCTGTGTGCTCCTCTGGAAAACAGAGATGAGAACCCTAAGAACCTAAGGAGGCGGCACCTAGTACAGGCCCAGCCCAGGCCCGGCTCTCAAGGAACGCCCAGGAGGGCTACGGCCTGGTGTCAACTATGAATGAGCCTGCCATCCGGTTAGAGCTGGTGCTCAAGGCCTTCCACTGCCCAGAGAATTCCTGAAGCTCGCCCTCCTGCCCTCCCACTGCTGCCCCCTCCAGCTGTCCGAAGCCATTAATGAAAAGGCCCCCGGATGTGAACTTAGAACTGACAGCAATCTAGGGACCCACCTATTTTCTCTTCCAAGCTTCTGTTCCGACACCAAAATGATACGATCTCGCCTCCACCAGGCAGCCCTGTAGGCCCTGGTGGCAACGGCTCATGGCCAAGCCCTTGGCCTCCAAGGGCCCCGTACCTCGTGTGCTCTCACTGTGCGGCTCAGGTGACACATCCGAGAGAGAGGAGCATCTTGTAGAGGGCTCCCATCACATGGAAGAATGAGGGGCCAGAAGGAGGACGACCACCAGGACAGAGATGTAGGTGGGGAAAAAAATAAAACATGGGGAGGAGTCTGAGCAAGTCTGTGTGCCATTGGCAACATCCATCCGGTCATCCACGTGTCACTGAAGAGACCTCGAGTGCCTACCGGGTGCCTGGTGCTCGGGCCAGAGCAGTAAAAGATAGATTTCTGGTAGATAAACGGCCAGCCGGCCACAGACACCTAGGAATGGCCAGCGGATCAAATTCCTTGCCTCCACCCCACTGGGACTAGTGAGGGGGGACAAGGAAAGGCTAAGGACGGTAGGTGGCAAAAGAGCTGTGGAGAGAGATCAGGAAGGGGGCCCCAGTGGTGCTGGCCGCTGGGCCTGTTAAGGTTGAGGTGCTAACCAGGGCTGCACACAGAGCTCGGCAACACGTTCCAAGGGGACTAGAAGCCCTGCATCTGGTGGACGAGCCACCGTCTGGCCTGAAGAGGTGCAGGGGTGCTCTGCGAGGCCACCGCAGGGCACGGCACGTGACAGGGGCATGCAGGGATGAATGAGGAACCTGGCAAGAGACCCAAGCTCAGGCTCTGGAGACCCTCTGGGTGCTGGATGTCATCAGACCCAGGGCAGGAAGAACAAATCGAAAAGAATGGACCGACGGGGGTTGGGGGTTGGCTTGGTTGTTCTTACAGAAGACGGAGTAGAGGAGAAGGGTTTTGTGGGAGTCCCAGTCACTAGGACACGAAGAAAGGGTAGCATGGAAGGAAGGCCATGATCTGCACTGTGATGGACGAGAATTCGCGCATGGGCGTGTGATGGATGCGTGTGTACGAGGGTCACAGAGGGAGGCAGCGAGCAGGGGAACAAGCATACTAGGACAGCTTGGAAAGTGCCCTGGGATTCCGTGACCCGGCAGTGTGAGGGCCCCTCAGGCATCCTGAGAAGCAAGCGTCAGTGGCAAGAAATGAGGATCCACAACATCCAGCAAGAAATGAGGATCCACAATGTCCAGCGCAGTTACTTCTAGTCTTGCCGAATAAGGTCGGACAGCGGACCGCGTGCATTGGGCACCTGTGGAGTGGGATGCAAACACAGACTTCTGTGAGCCCGGCTGCGTCAAACAACGCTATGGAAGGAAGTGTGATGTCTGCAGTGGTGATTCCTACCGCCACTCAAAGTTATAGACATTTTTAGTCATTCACAAATTTTTCTGTTTTTTTTTTGTTTGTTTGTTTTTTTACAATCAGCATCTACTGCCTTATTATAAACCGGAAAAAAGTTCAGCTAAAAAATAGCAGCAGTGATTGAACAGCCTTCCCGGTTACCGTCCCAAGGATTGGAAAGCTCCCAGTGGCCAGAACAGGATTACTAGGATTGTTCAAAGCCACAAGAGCCAGGGCCAGGCCCTGAGGGCAGCAGAGAAGAGCGCCATGGGGCTTTCCAGCCAAACACCCGTTTGCTTCCAAATGTTTAGACAAAGGAGCCACGACTGGCCTCCAGCCCTGTCCAATGGTCCCAAGTCTCTCCAGGGGTCCGCAGCCACAGCTTTGCTGGCTTGTCAGGGTGGGTGTGTGACAAGGAGCCAGGAGTGACTGACTACAGGATGCCACAGGGCATTTCCTTCCTTCCCTCCCGCCCTCCCTCCCAAGCTCATTCATTCAAAAAAAGTTCCTAGTGTGTCTCAGGCACCATCCTGGGGATAAGGTGGATGGCAGAGGGGGTTGGGGGAGGTCAGCAGCATTGGAGGCAGACAGCAGGTGGGACCCCACAGTGGGTGGGCTGGGGAGCAGGCTCGGGGATGCGGCCGCCCGCACCTCGCCGCTGAACAGAGCAGGGGTGCAGCACAGGGAGCAGGTGCAAGTGGCGCCAGGTGGCCTTGACTGCAAGCTCCAGACCCCAGGAGCTGATCCTGAACTCTATGCCTGTAAGGACCCAGGAGAAGGGACACTAGGGGCGACCTCCTCCTCCCCCTGCGCCGCTCCCTACCCCCGGGGTTCCCAGCTCCATCTTTCTTTAGTGCAGCCTCCACTGAAGACCTCCTAAAGGGCAGCTGGGAGAAAGAGAGGAAACCCCAGACAAAGGCCAGGCGCCTGGAGGCCCAGAGGCAGCTGCCACCATCCCCCCTCTGGGGCCCCAAGCCTTTTGCATGGGGTGGGGGTGGGGGTGGGGGGGCTCTGTCTTCAAGTCAAAAGTGCTTAATATAGCGAGTTTTGGAACCCAGGTGGAATAGGCCTGGAACAGGGGCGATGAGAGGGAACGTTCCTAGGAAGCCAGCCCCACTCCTGCTCGGTCGGGCATAAGCAGCGGAGGCTAGTCAAACCTCGTTCCTATCGAACCCTTGTTCAATCGGGGGTTCCAGCCTGGAAACCTGTTCCACACCCTGATACCTAAATCCACTAAAAACCACAGATACAGGTTCTTACAGGTGTTGGTTAAATATGCAGAACCATACAAACCCCTCCCTGCGGGGGCCCGGGGGACACTGAAGACCCCTGAGGACCTGGGAGGCCTTGCTGTGCGGCACCAGCACTCCAAGAACCTCCCGGCTACATTCAGACAGGGCCTCAGGCCTCCTGGGTTTCATTAATTCAGGCCTCCAAAGGGGGCAGTGAGTGGGGGGGGGAGGGACAGGCCCCTCACACTTCCACTGCAGGGCCTCCCTGCCCAGCTCCCCTGAAGAAGCCGTGGGCCCTGGTCGTCACAGCCTGTGTCCCCATGTGTCCACATCCTCATGAATCCGAAACCTCCTAAGGGGGCTCCGGCCTGGCCCCCAGGCAGCATCCCCAGCTCTCTGCCTAAGGAGTTACTGAGAAATCTCATTGTTTGCACTTACTCAGGTCTCTGACGAGCCACCTGCTGAAGGGTGAAGGATTGTCCTCTGTGTGATGGTGTTACTCTGGGCGGTGACCAGGTTGACAGTTCCTTGTGAATGAAACCAGTGGCCCTGTTAGGCCCCAGGCTGCTCCCCTCTCCCTGCCACCAGGGGAGGACAATCCAAACTGTCCAGCTATGAAGCAAGGATGGGTCTCCCAGCCACGCCGTGGGCTTGCCAGCCTCGGGAGCTGTCCCCTGCCGTCTGCAGCCTCTGGCTTGGTGGCCCCGGCGGCCCACATCCTGCCCCTCACGAGTGTTCTTCCCCGCCTGGGCACTTTCTGTTTCTGCAGAACAAATGAGGGATGTGGCCAGATGCCCCTTCCTTCCAGGCAGCTGAGGGACAGGGAGGGGGCTGCTCCTTCCCGGGGTCCCTTCCGAGGGAGTCTCCCCCCCGCCCCGCTCACCCCACGCCAGGACCCCACTCTGGATTTTGTCCCCTGCACCTGGTGTCTAGTGAGGCTGGCAGCCGGGAGTTCCTGAGCACTCCAGAATGTCGGTGGCTGTTTTACTCCATATTTTACAAATATGCAGACGACTGTTGTAGGGGCCAATTTAGGGACGTCCTAGGAGTAAAAATGGAGTGAAAAGATTTTTCAGGTTTGATGAGGAAGGTGTATGCTATATGAGAGGGGCTACAGTTAAGTTTTCTGCAGACCGATTGGGCAATATGCAGTAAAATCACTAAAAAAATATTTCTATCTTAGACTCAGTGACTGTACTCATGGACACCTGGCCTAAGGCAAAGTCAGAACCGTAGGGCAGGACTGTCGTTTATAATGGTGAAGAACGGAAACAAGTCAATCATGTGCTCATGAGCTATTATGCGGCCATTAATGTTTTTGAAGACCATTTAACAGCTTTGAGAATATTTCAGAATATTCAGTGAGAAAATCGTTGTGGTCAACCCTATAATTATTTAACAAAAATATCAGCACATAGGAAAAAAACTACCGGTAGGGAATTAATAGTGGTTTTATGTATGTGGTGGGATAAGAGGCTCTTTTTTTGTATTTTTTCTTTTAAAAATTATTTTCCGAGATCCGGATAATTACCGTTGTCCTCAGGGGGGAAAAATAAGTCACAGACACTTAAGAAAGGAGTATGACTGTGTGATTTCATGACCAGGTGGCGTCTTGTCTTGAGCGAGTCCTGACTCCCAGAGCAGGGCAGGTGAGCTCAGAGAGCAGTCTGCAGAGCTCCTCAACCCCAGCTCCTGTGAGCATGAGCTTCTGAGCTTCTAGAACCACCAGGGCCTGGCCCCAACCCTAGAAGTTCTGATTTGACTGCCTGGGTCCCATTGATGGTGGTTCTCACAGCCCCTGGGGGGCATGGCTGTGGCCCTGAGAACTGGGGACCCCTGTGCCTTCGGCTGTCCCCCAGCTCCTGGCCCCCAGGGACCAAGAGGCTCCTCCTTCACCCCTGACAAGCCCATCCTCAGAAGGACCTTAGAGACTCCCTCATGGACGTTTGCAGGGGCCTGCGGTGGAAAGGGCAGCGAGGCCTTTGTTCAGAGGGCAGGGGTTAGCCACGGGCACCCCCATCTGCCCCGGGCTGGGCAGCGGAGGCCTCACTTTCCCGGATTCCCTGCTCCCTGCACCTGGGAGGGCGGTCCACAGGCTCCTGGAATTCCAGAAGGGAGAACCTGAGCTTGTGAGGAGGCTGGGGGAGAGCCGGGGTGCTCACTGATGTGACTTCCCGCAGGTCCCCAGGAGGCAGCGGAGCACAGGGCAGGAGGAAATGGCCCTCCCGAGGCCCAGGCGGGGCAACCAGCTGCTCTTCCTGGGCATCATGTTAGTCACCGTGGTGGTCATCTCCCTGCTGTTCTACGCTCTCCTCTGGAAGGCCGGCAACCTCACGGACTTGCCCAACCTCAGAATCGGCTTCTACAACTTCTGCCTGTGGAACGAGGGCACCGGCTCCCTCCAGTGTCACCAGTTCCCCGAGCTGGAGGCCCTGGGCGTGCCACGGGCTGGCCTGGCCCTGGCCAGGCTGGGTGCATATGGGGCCTTGGTCTTCTCTCTCTTTGTCCCCCTGCCTCTGTTCCTGGCCTGGTGCAACGGTAACGATGGAGAATGGCAGCTGGCGGTGGGCTTCCTGGCCATGGCCTCTGCGCTGCTGGCCAGTGGCCTGGGCCTCTTCCTCGCCTATACGTGGAAGTGGGTCAGGCTCTCCCTCCTGGGGCCTGGGTTCCTGGCTCTGGGTGCTGCCCAGGCCTTGCTCGTCCTCCTGCTGATGGCCACGGTTGTGTTCCCTCGGAGAGCAGAGGACAAGAGCAAGCTTGACAGCTGCTAGTTCTGTCAAAAACATGATTGCCAGAGTTCAGTCTGAACCTCGCTCAGAGAAGGTGCCAGAAAACCGAGGGGCTGGTATGTCTTCTCAGCCTGTTTCATAGCAAATGCCGATCTCAAGCTCTAGCAGACGGGGCCCCTCCAGGGTGAAGGTGGGGTACCCCGGGTCAAGAAAGCCAGGAGGCAGCAATGGCAGGACAACCTGAGTGCAGGGTTGTCCGTCCTACGGGGCTTCTAGGGCTCACAAGGACACCCTAAACCCGCGTAGCTCGCAGTCACAAGAACTCCTGCTTCAATGCACTGATCTGAGCAGGCCGTTCTTACGTCATCCTCAGAATGACAGGAGATTCCTGTCACAAGGCCTGATTTCCGGGATAATCTGCCAAATGTCGAAGTGGAACCCAGTGAGGATTCATGGCTACAAATGGGGAACATTCTGAGAGAGAGAGAACAAGAGAGAGGGCCAAGAGTGCCTTGGCGTCTCCCTTGGGCCCTGGTGAGCAAGCTCCCCCTCTCCATGGTGGGTGTCATGGGATGGGCCCAGGGGTGACCCCTTGAGGGATTCACTCAAGACACAAGCCATGGGCACAAATTGAGGCCTTGGTGGCTTTGAGGGTCTCCTGGACCTGAAACCAGACAAATCAGGGGGTCGGGGGGCAACTCCCTCCTAGCACGTGACCCAGGCGAGCAGAACAGTCCCAGTGCACACCGAGGCCGCATCCCTTCCCTTCTCCAACCAGAACTGGAAAGGACAGAAACACAACCTTGGCCTTGGGGAACTGTTTGTATTTCTCCACGCAGCGCATTGATGACCCCGCACAGCAAAGGACTGCCTCGTCCCACGCCTGTCAAAAGCCACACTGAATAAAGACAGAAATATGGACTCTGGGTGTCTCGTCCTTAAGAGTTTCCCGTGGGCTGCAGCCCCACTCGGGCTTCACGACTGCCCAGGGACCAAGGCGGAGCCAGCCAGGGAAGGAAGTGGGGGCACGGGCCGGAGGCCTTCCACTCAGGGCCCCAGGCAGAGCAGAGCATAGTGGCGCCGGGTGGGCAGCTGCCTCCAGGGCCGCTCGAGTCATGGAAACTAGGTCTAAAATAGGCCTCCTCCTTAAGTGGTAGGAATTCCAGTGAACTTCACCACCATACTCTCCCTCCTTTCAAAATTAGTAAATTAACCCCTTGGTTCCAGTGGGTTTGACCCCATGTCCGCCTTTTCCCTGGGGCTGACCCTCCAGGTGGAGGAGGCGCAGTACAGAGAGTCCAGGGGAAGCGCATCCCAACAGGACAGCGCCCAGGGCTCAGGGCATCTGGGGCCAACCTTCCAAGAAGGTCAGGGGAGGGAGGCCCCGGCAGGCAGGGCCAAGGAGCCGGCTTCCCTCAGACCCCAGCAGAAAGTCTTGGGAAGTGTGTCCTTTAGCTGAAAAATATTTCCCTGACGTACTTCAGCATGTCCTCGTCCTCGTCCTGGTCAGGGCTCGAGCGGCACGCAGAGTCAGGCCCCACGGGTCCCTGCTGGGGGCTGAGGCCCTGAGTAGGGGCCTCCTTCCCATTGTCTTCATCCTCACTTCTACTCCCAGGGGAACTCGGGGCCCATGCTAAGTGGGCTGGGAACAGCTCTGGCTTATCGGCACCAGCCGGAGTCGCTGACTCCCAGGGCTCTTCCTGTTTCCGGGCCTGTAGAGTAGGAGAGACAACAGGGAAAACAGACATTGTGTTATTTCCCGAAGGAACGTGTGGGTTTATCCATCATCGGCGAAGCAGAGCATGTGCAGAAGCCACTGTGAAGCCAGCGTGTGCCCAGGTCAAGCGGCGCTCCTAAATCAGAGCCTCCCCGTCCCCTCCCCTCTCCGCCCCTGAGGAATACCAGGGTGGAAAAGAACACTAGGAAAACTGTATCTGGAAAGGCAGGGGTGACAGGAAGGAGGACGGGACACAAAACTTGAGTGCGGGCCTTGGCTCTGTCACTTGCTGGCTGTGTCACTAAGGGAAAAGGCCTGGGCCTCAATTCCTTTATCTGTAAAATGGGGATAATATCTGAAATAACCATCTCCAGGTGACGGCAAGGATTCAGTGAGCCAATATATACAGAAGTACCCAGTCAACATACACACAACACTATGGTGGTACAACCACTATTCGCTTCAGGAGCCAGAAGACCTGGGTGGGGGCATTCGGCTAAGGAGTCACCTCACCCAACTGAGACCCCGCCAAGAACATAAGCATCTAAAGGCTCCCCATCGCCTCCAGCTACCAGCCCAGTCACACCAGGGACAGCTGCCCTCCCTCCCACAGCCACTCCCGCCCCAGGTGTCCCGCCCAAACACTGAGTCACATCTCACACAGGGAGAGGCCAAGGGGAGTGTGACCGTGAGAGATGTGCTAGACACGGGACAGGTGGAAGACATGGGATGACAGGGGACGGGGTTCCCCGAGGCCACCTGAGAACGCAGGGCGTCTCTTTTGGTGCCATTAACCGAGGGCCCAGTGCAGTTTCTGGTCATGACTAAGAGCCACAGTGGACTTTACCTCAATCAGGATCCCCAGAGCAACGTCTACCATCTCGGCCTCACTCATGCAGTACGCAGTCCTCACTGCAGACAGTCTGAAAGGAAGGCATGGTGCTCAGATGGGGACAGACGGGTCTCAGGTCTCACAAGGGGGAAGAGAAGGAGAGCAAGAGTCCCAGCCCGGGGAACTCCCACCTGCCGCCACTGGAACAGGGCATGAGGGCTACTCCTTGGAGCCCCTGCCCCCACACAACGGACTCCAGCGGGTCATATGACAGGTTATCAGGCCGAGTCATGACCAAAACCCACCTGCACCCGTGGCCACTATAAAGCAGGACCCAGCAGGTCTGAAGGGAGGTGGGTCAGTAAAAAGAGCCAGGGAGGGGAGCACTGAGTGCCGAGCCTAGGAGGATGCAGGGACGCTCCCTCCCGGGTGGCCTGAGGACTCCCCCAAACCACCATCATTCAGCTGATTTCATGCTGCTCCAGCGACTGCTGCTCATCTGTTCCTGATCTTCCTGCAGGCAGACTGGCCCCTGGTCCACTGAACTTGACCACTTAACGGTCACAATGCTTACTGCAAATGAAGACACCGGCATCTTGGACAACTGGTGTCTGAGAGTTTGGCTACTGTGCATTAGCCAGAAGGGGAGCGCTGCCTGGGAGCTGACACCTGAGGCCTGGCTGGGGAGCTGCACCAGCACCCTGTGGAGGCAGCTGGGGCCTGGGACCCTGGAACACCCACCACCTCCTGCTCCCCCAGCACCGGAAGGTTCAGCCCCAGCAAGTATGATGCCCACAAAACCCCCCCTCCTCCTGTTTCCCCAGGTCCCCAACCAGAAGTTGCCCCACCTTGCTGCAGCAGCTCCCTGCACTGCCCTCTTTGGCTTGGGGGTCTCCTGGGTTGTCATCCATGCGGGAAGGACCCTCTTCTTATCCCCGGATTTTACAGCTTCCATCTCTTTTCTTTCCTGAAGTCAGAGCCCAGGCTTAACGACTTGCTTTTCTAAATCAGGACAGCAAACCCCATTCTCATCATACCAGGAATTCCAGGTTTGTCCTGCATGGGAGTCATACCTTAATTCCTACAAAGAACAAAGTTTAGGGAATTCTAGTAAGTCAGAGTACTCCCAGCCATCAACTGTAATTACTGGTCAGGACAGGCCAGAGGTTAGCTGGGCAAAGAGCAGGGCCCAGATGCTGGCTGTCCCCGGGGTGCCCAGCCTGCCCCACCCTTAAGGTATCTTCCATCCTCTCTCCCTCACCTCCCCAACTCCAGACCTCTCATTTCCTCGACCTTGGTGCAGTTACAGGGAACCCCAGGACCACTTTAATTCACCCACACTCCCTTAATCCAAAAGATTCTTCTGACAGGCCAGATTCTAGCCGGCAGCAGGGATGGGGAGGGGGACAGGGATCCGGGAGAGGGGCAGGGATGGGGGAGGGGCAAAAGGGATGGGGGAGGGGTGGCAGGGACGGGAGGGGGCGGGGACGGGGGCAGGGAGGAGGGCCGGGGAGGGGGTGGGGCCTGGGGAGGCCTGGAGTGGCCCCGGGGCACCCCCAAGCCCAGCCCCCCCCCCCCCCCCCCGCACTGCCTGCAGCCTCTCCTTCCCCACCCCCCCTCAGTCCCCGCCGTGGGCTCCGCCCAGGACCGCGCCGGGGCAGAGGTCAGCCGAGACGGGCCGGGCCGGGAGCCCTCTCCAAGTCGTCATCATTTATCGCTCACCTGGAAGGCGGGGTACCCGTCAGGGGCTGCGAAGTGCGCAAGGTCGCCAGGAGGTTGGGCGCAGCCCGCGGGGCCCGCAGCCGCTCGCTCGGCCGGCCTGACCCCGGCCTGACCCCGGCCTCACCCCGGCCTCACCCCGCCGGTCGGCCGCCGGGCTCCAGCGGCAGAGGCGGAGCGAGCCCGCGCCCCGATCCCCGCGGACCCGCGCCGCCCGCCAAGCCGGGGCCGGGAGCGGAGGGGACGCGCGGGCACCTCGACCTCCACCGGGCGGGCGGGCGGGCGGGCGGAGGGAGGGCTCCCGGGCCAGGCTCGGGGACCGCGCGCTCCTCGGGCTCGGCCTCCCCGCCCCCGGGCTTCCGGGGCCTCCGGGCTTCCGGGCGGCGGGGACCCGGCCGGCCCTGCGCGCGCCCCCGCCGCCCGCGCGCCCCCGCCACACCCGCACCCGCGCCCCTGCCGCCCGCGCGCCCCCGCCACACCCGCCCCCGCGCCCCCGCCGCCCCCGCGCCCCCGCCACACCCGCCCGCGCGCCCCCGCCACACCCGCGGCCCCCCCCGCGCCCCCGCCGCCCGCGCGCCCGCGCCCCCCCCGCCCCCGCGCGCCCCACTTCCGGCCCCCCTTCACCCGCGCGGGGACCCGCTCGCCGCCCGCAGGCAGCCGCCCCGCCCTGCCCCGGACTCCCTGCGTCTCGGGCGGACCCTACTGGGGCTCCTCTGAGCTCCCCGCTGGGCCCGGCCCTGGGACTCCCCGCCCCTCCGGGCCGCGGCGCAGCAGGGAGCGTCCAGCCGTTGGACCGGGACCCCAGCCCCCAATCCCGAGCGCCCTCACACCTGGGCGGCTCTCCTAACTCCCCGCCTTCCAGGGCGCGCGTGGTCACCCAGGGGGCCTTCAGCAGGCCTCCCGGAGCAGAGTGGAACCAGAGCCGCCCCCGCCCTTGACCAGGCAACCCCCTTCTCCCTGCTGCGTTCACAGTGAAGCCCCATGGCTCTCCCCGACCAGGAACCTGTGGTATCTGACCCTGAAAAGAGCCTGCCTTGATGTTTTCAACAAGTGTCAAGAATAATGTTCTATTTAGTGGAATATTTTTTACAGTCCCCAAACATGGCTCCATTTGAGGTTTGCCAGCCAGACTTTACTGGAGTGTCAACTCCTGGGCCGCCCCCACCCCCGAGTCGACCCCCACCCCCGAGGAAATTAGGGGGAGAGGAGGAGGGTCTGCATTTTAAAAAAAGGAAAAAAAAAAGCTCGGGATTCCCACAGGGACCAAGTCTGACTCTCCCTGCTGGGGGTACACATCCCAGGGAGAGAGGGCCCAGGGTAAGCCCTTTGGGTGCAGTAAAAGAAACGAAAGCCTCTGCTTAGATTTGCTATCTTAAAAGTAGTTGCCACTGACACTGAACATTCAGATCGGCGCAGGTGTTCCCTCGGCGGCTCCACAAAGCTCCCCAGGCGTCCTCGTCCTTGGTGCTTTGCGGTCAAGTTCAGCCTGACGCCGGGACCTGCAGTGGACGCGTGGAGTTCACATCCAGTTTAAGACCCACACTCAGCTTAGAGGCAAAGGAGCCCCCAGGGCACGGCCTTGACAAGACATGCGAGCACAAGCCGTCACAGGTCAACCTTCCCCTGCTGCACTTGGAGGTGAAAGTATGATCAGAACCGACCGTCCGGCCCCCAAATGTGAGACCAGCCACTTGAAATGTGATCTCTAACACACACATCAGCCACGGGGATAATGACCCTCCAGCAGCTGGAGGCGCACAACAGGGGGGCTTGCAGACCCTGACCAGATGCTCTCCTCCCACTGTATGTGCAGCACTTTCACCCACTGGGCCGGGAAGGTTTAGCCCAGTCGAGGCTTCATGAGATCAGTGGTTTCAAGTCACAGGGCCAAGCCGCGGTGCCCGGGGTCGTCTAGCTGCAGGCTGAACCTGGACTCCGCTTCATCTTTTCAGGAGGGCAGTACCCCAGGGGCCTCTGCTCCCAAGCTGAGCCGGGACAAACCCAAGTCTAACCCAGGAAGCAGCATTTTGTTTTGTGAATAAAGGAACAGAAGACGCTTTTTCTTAGTGGAATCCCTCCTCCTCTACATGTCTGCCTAAAACCTCTTCCCAGGAGAGAGGAGGAACGGGAAGCCTTCGTACCTGAGTAGCTGCAGGGAGAGAAGCCCACGCAGGGGTAGGAACCCCGGGCTGTGGGACGCACACAGTGTCAAGTGCTGAAGTGCTTTGAAAGCCATGCTCCCAAGCACAGTGGAGCCGGCAAGCACAGAAAGCACAGACAGGTGGGGGGGCTGGTGAGGGGGCCCCCAGGCCGGGCTCTCAGGCAGCTGTGGCCAGAGGACCGTAGGCACACCCACACCCAGCCCATGGGCTTGGCACCTGAGGCTGCACTGGCTTGATGGCTTCCCCTTGAGCTGCCCTTGCCCAAAAGAAGTGGGAGGAGTCTTGCTGGGGTCCCGGGCAGGTGCCCCGGCCAGCTCTTGTGAAGGACAGGGAAGTCTAAGTCTTGATGTGTTCTCCTGGAGGTCGAGAGCTCCTCCTGGAGGGGGGACAGGTGACAAAGGGGGGAGCATCAGGCGGCACTCAAGATGGAGTGAAGGCTGAGGAGAGACAGGCAGACAGGGGCAGGTCTGGCCACCTCCTTTTGCCAATTTCAAAAGATCAGAGGTTCCCGGGGTTTGGGGGTTTCTGTGTTTTGGGGCAGTGTTGTGGTTTTGTGTCTTTAGGCAGGGCCGTGGAGCCCCTCAATCTCAAGCCAAGGTCAAAACAAAAGGGAGGTGATGGGTGTTCAGCCCAGACCATAAAGGAAGAGAGAGAAGACACAGCTTTTCAAGTGTTCTTTGTTTCTCTGTGATCCTTAGACATCTCGGTAGCTGTGGAGACCATATTGAGAAGAGAGAAGGGGCAAGAAGAGAAAACTGAAACAAAACTTTGAGGCTAAACAGTGAATTCTGTCACACAAATGAAACACGTGACGACGGCTCCTTAAATGTCCTATTGAATCACTAGGGGAGATACTTTGCTGTTTCACTGCGGAAGACAAGGAAAACTGTGAATGGAGACGTCTTGGTTTTCCTCACTTGAAGAGAGGGTTACCAAGGCAGAAACAAGTAAAAATGTGCAAGGAGTTACTTACCAGCCTCTGGTGTTCTCTCATAGCTGGGTCACCTCAATACCTACTTTTCCTCCCAGATCCCAGCAGACGGGAGCTGAGGCCTGAGGACCGACTTCATGATTTTCCACAAGTAGGTAACTGGGAGCACCCCCACTCCAGACCTGCACCACCAGAACTGGGCTGGAGCCCAGAGGCCTGACGACGACTGCCCAAATGTCTGGGCACCAAGGCCATCTCTGTCCCGCATCTGCAGCCGGAGAGCCCCACCGCCCCCCACCTCAGATGGCCAAGCAAGCTTGGCCCCCTGGCCCCAGTCCTCTCGCCAACCATCAGCACACGGCACTGGTGGCCAGCTCCCGTCCGCCTCAAGGATGTGAAGGTGACAGAGAGGAACCCCAGTGGCGGAGGGAGGGGACACCCACGTGGAGCAGGCAAGACCAGAGCCTCAGACCCTAACCTCATCCCAAGAAGCTTCAGCAATGCAGGAAAGAAAAGGAACGCTATGGCCTCCCTGACTGGAGCCCAAAGAAACAGCGACAGCATAACCATCATCTCGCCAGCGGAGTGAGATGGGCCATCTTAGCTCTACAGCAAAGCAACAAGCAAACCTGCCACACGGCTCAGCCCCACAGCTGGCACAGCTGGCACGGCTGGCACGGGAGGCCTAGGCTCAAAGCCGACTGGCTGCCTCTGGCAACACCTGCCTCTCCAAGGGCAAAGGGTGAAGGGAGACGCTCTGCTGCACACACATGTTCCAGAAAGACATACCAGCTGACCGCGAGAGCATTCTTTTTTTAAAAAAAAGATGAAAAATGAGCAAATATATACACAGTCCCTGTCAGCCCCTCCTGGCCCAAAAGGGCAGCCATCACACTGCATCTCCTGCTTCCTGAACTTTCCTCCCCACCGCCTGGAGCATGCCTCTTGCACTACCCAGCATGCTGGTCTCTAGGACACAATGTGCCACCACTCCATGTGGATCCCGTGTGCTCACTGCAGCCCAGCAGTGCCTGATTCCCAGGACAATCTTTCCCTGAGGAGTCCCCACACTGGCCAGGGGTGGGAAGCAGAGTCCCCTGTCTTCCTGTCCTGTTTCTCCACTCCCCTCAGGATAATACTGCTTCCGTGGTGTCCCTCAGGGTGGGTCCCCTCAGAGTTTATGAGCCAGGAGAGTGGTCAGCTTGATCTTGCCATCCATGGAGGCAGTGAGGCACGTCCCGCAGTCCATGGCCGTGCTCCAAGCCACGGTGACCACAGGGGCTCGGTGGCCGCCCAGGCTCACGCAGCTCTCCAGAACCTTCTCATCCCCGCCCAGCTGCAAGACAGGAGAGAGGAGGTGTCACAAACACGGCCATTATAGTTACTCCTTTGTCTTAGGTGGAAAACCATATCACACACCTGAAAAGACAAGAGAATTTCCTCTGCCACCTTTAACTCGCTGTGGGCCGGTGCCTTCTGCGCCCACCCCGACCTACACCCAGTTGTTTCCCTACATGGCTCCCTGCTCCCCAGCATGAGATCGGGTTTCTGCTGGTTGGTTTCCCATTTGCTTCCCCCAGGAGTGCAAGCTGCAGGTCATCCGCCGCGGGACCCAGCACAGCGGCACCCAGGAAGGGCCCTGAGGACCCCGGAGGAGCCCAGCCTCTCTCCCACTAGCACCAGCCACCAGGACTCAGCCTACAGCATGAGGAGTCGGAAGGTATCAAGGAAGGGGGAGCCAGGAGCATGCATAATGACCAATCCAGCTACAGACAACACCCATGAGGAAGAACCGGAAGTCGTTGGCCTTTGTAATTTAAAAATCATAGCTTGTTTAAAGTCTGTAAAAATAGGATCAAAAATTCATTATATTCCTTAAGTAAGTAGACCCCGTATCTAGCATTTCAAAAATTATACAGAGGGAAATCCTGCAACCTGACTGCAAATCATGAGCCCACAGTAGCCACCCTGGCTCAAGCAGAATTCCAGAACCTTCTCATCCCTACCCAGCCGCAAGAGAACAGGAAAGGGGGAGGCATTCCAGACAAATGACAAAGGCTAACGGGAACAAATGACAAAGGCTGACTGGGACAAAACACAAGTGACAAAGGCTCATGATTAAAAATACACAAACATCCATACAACACACATAAAACCATACACAAAGTATAGCATAACTGAAACTCAGTTTTTAGCCAATAAAATACAGTTAGGCTTGCAAACCAAAAGCTTTGTACAGCATCTTCTAACAGCAATTACAAGAAATTACAGAGCTAATTTTAAGAAGGCAAGAGCCACTCAACACATCATCTGTGGAAAAGAGGAGCCTCACTGATGGTAAACCCAGATTACCTGGGGCCGTGCTCCGGATCAATGGTCTAGAGGGCTCCTGATGCCACCTCCTCTGCACTCCCCTCCGCCTCCCCCAACTCCAGTGCTCTCACTTGCCTCTGTCCCTGTGGGGCCGGCCCCAAGGCCTGCCTCACTCCCTGTCCTCCCAACAACTCCTCCACCTCCTCCAAAGGCCTCACATTCACAGACCACGGCCCACCCCCCACCGCCCTGCAGGGGTCTCCCCTCAGCACTCAGCCCCTGCCCAGCTTCCTGGGCTCAGTACCCTGCCCTGTCTAGGATGTGGGTGTTATAAGCGTGAGCCCCACGAAAGCAGGATCACACGGTCTCCCCTGCGTCCACCCACAGGGCTTAGGCCGATGCCTGCACACAACTGCCATCCACAGCATGGGCTGTCCACAGACAGATGACCCATGGCAATGGGGACGTGGAGAGCCCCCAACCAGAGAACACTATACCTGTGGCTCTGTACTTACACACTGAATACTACCAGTAGGCAGAGTTACCACTGAGGCTAAGAACAGGTTGGCATGGTTACCAAACAAATATGCCGAGAGGCGCCTGGGCAGCTCAGCCGGTGAAGCATCTGCCTTCAGCTCAGGTCATGATCCCAGGGTCCTGGGATGGAGCCCTGAGCTGGACTTCCTGCTCAGCATGAAATCTGCTTCTCCCTCACCCACTGCTCATCACCCTCTCTTGCTCTCAAATAAAATCTTAAAAAAAAAACAACAAACATATGCTTAGACTACAACTCAAATCCTCCTCACTGGTCTGTTTGACAATACCAATAAAACAGAAGAGGTTTAGAATTTCAGACAACTGTACCAGAAAAGTACACGAATCAGAGAAGCTCGGATGTGAGAATTAAAGCAAGCACATCAACTGAGGGACAAAACCAAAGTGGACAATGACATCATGGTGTGATAAACCACAGCCCCGAATTTCGCCTTGGCCATGGACTGGAATGTCCGTAACCCACGGCACCTCCGATAAACTAATATATCTATACCAGATGAGTCACAAAGCAGACCACCTCCCCATGTGCGTCGTGCTCCCCGCCCCAACCCAACACACTTCCCAATGCCTCTCCCTACTTTTTCACACTTTCTCTAACAGGTATTATTCCCAAGGAACAAAAGCAGAAAAGGGCCAGAATCTTGTCAAAGGACAGCAGATGGACAAAGAAAAGGACGAGCATGCCATGCCATGTCCCCATCCCGAGCGGGGGGCCTGCCAGGCCTGTAGCCAGGGGGCCCCAGGCGCTATCCATCCTGGATCAGGGGCTTCCCTGCACTCAGCTGGGCCCAGACCTCCAGGGAGGAAGCCCCCTGCCCACCATGACAGCCCCATTCACCCCCATACCTTGTAGATGACGCCCCCTGTGGCCGAACACGTCAGCATGTAATTTCCCTCCGAGTCAAAGGCGAAGAGTCGGCCCCGGGGCACTTGAACCTGCTTGTAGCCACTGTAGCCAGACAGCACAAAGGGGCCCGTGGCGTCGGCGGGGAGGCCGTACTCAGACACCTTCAGGCCACTCTTGTGGATGTTCCACTGGATGAACTGCAACCACAAAACACAACCTGAACGCTCTTTCAGCGGGAGCTGGCCACGGCTCTCCAGGGCCAGGCCTGGGGGTGGGGGGAAGGACGGATCCCAGGGTAGAGGGGGTGGGTCTACAGGCCACAAGGAAAGCTAGTGGGACAACTCCCCAGTCTGTCTTTCCCTAAAACAAGTTAAACAATTTTCTAGAGAAGAACATCTTAGAAAGAGTCCGCAACTTCACAGCAGAGCCTGAACTTTCTCTCTGGCCTGACTCCCGGAGAAGAAGCGGGCAGGCAACTACCCATGTTTGGATTCCCATCGCTCAAGCAGGGGGAATGCTCCAAGGGATTGTTACTGTTGTTGTTGTTGTTGTTTCTAGGGTTAGAACCCAAGTGGATTTTTCTGACTTAGAAGCAAAGAGAAGATAAATTCCAAATATCCTCCCCATCTCAGCAGTGTAATCCACTGAACATGAGCAGTATGGTTACAAACTGGCTTCATGTACTGTAGTGTACATAATCCTTTCGTCTACACCATGGACCGGCTGCCTGTGTGACAACCTCTTAACTGAGAATCCTACTCAAATAGGAAGTTAAGCTTTAATTTAAAAATTCTTTCCCATAGTTTTCAAATGAAGAATTCACTTTGTAATTACAGTTTTCAATGAATAATACAGGTACATGGTGTAAAATCCAAAGTACAGGGGGGTATACGGGAAAAACAAGTTTTCCTCCCACCTCGGCCTGCCTGCCTCCCAACCGCAGCTTCCTTTCCAGAAATCCTAATGTGTCCTTCCAGAAAGAACACATAAGGGGGCACTTACCTTCACTTTTTATCTCCTGACTTCCTTTTTACATTTCTTGACTCCTCCCTGGCCTATACACACTGTCTCGAGGAAGCATGTCTACATGTCACACTGTGACCACCCGATGACCTAGGTGGGCACAACCTGGGCCCTAATCTGGACCCCACTGATCCACCTAGAGTGGGAAGAGTCACTTCTGCTACAACAAGGAGGAAGGCTGGGTTCTCCCCTTTTCTGATTGCCAATTCCCACTACACTTGTTCAAACCTCACCAGAGATTGGTTACTATCACTACCCCTAACATACTGATGACACGCTAAGGCAGAGAGGGGCCCGAGGTCACGGAGCTAGTAAAGGGTACGGCCAGGATTAATCTCAGCCCCTCGTGCCATTCTGGTGCTCTCTGGAATCTCAGATGCCTGAGCCAGAGGAAGAGGAGTTTCCGATCAAAATCCTGCTCCCACATACCTTCCCATCCTCACCGATGCTGTACACGGTATTCTCATCGTAACTGAACTCCACAGAGTAGACCTCCCCACAGTGGGCCTTCCAGCTCATGGCGCACTCATGCTGCTGCATATCTGAGGCAAGGAGAGAACACTAAGAACCCCATCCAGACCCTGGGGAGGCATCCACCCACAACAGGAAGCGCCTCTTGCCCTATGCCCAAAGGCAGGAATGGTTGTGGGGCCAAGGGCCTCCTGGGACCTACAGCTATCACAGAGCTGACCCTTGCCCAAAAGGTCTTTCAGTTTGCTCATTCTCTCCTCCAGTGTATTCATCATCATCAATTTAACATATCTAAAATGAAGCTTTCTTCCCTGGGTTGAAAATGAGGTTCAGGAATCCCCGGGGGAGCCTGAGCTCATCTGGGCAGCCCGCAAGTCTAGGGAGACAAACAAATCCTTCCAAGGCAGCCTCTGTAAGGTACCCCCAGGGCGCCTGGGGGGTCTGCTAGACACGGTCCCTAGTTCCCTCCCAGACTCTGCTTCTCCTGGGGGCAGGCCTGCACAGGGCTCCTGAGACAGTGTGCCGGATAACTCAAAAGCACACTGTTCTGGTGCTTTTACCAGGAGAACAAACTAGCCACACCAGGCAGACAGCACGGCATTACTCATGTGTCCTCCTGGATCTCACGTAGGACTCGGATCAAACAGCTCCAGACTCAAGGACTGCTAAGCCCCACCACACTGACCACGTGCAAGGTGAACGATCACAGAGGTCTTGAAAGGAGCAGGCTTGGACCAAAGTTAAGCTCTACTTCGAGCATCCCAAATTGGGACTTCTGCAGTAGCTTCTAGTCTTCTTGCATTTTTGTGCAAGACTCCTTCTGTGGGACACTGAAGGAGGGGGCCAGACCTCCACGAGCACGCCTGCTGCGTACCAAACAGCCGGATGACGCCATCAGCCGCCCCTGTGACCAGCAGGTTTCCGTTGTGATTGAAGGCTGTGCAGTTGATGGCAATGGGCTCTGGGTCCAGGGAGAACTGGAGCTAGCGAAAAAATAAAAAAATAAAAACCGACTAAATCTCAAACTGTTAGAGAACCACCGCCCAATATTCAAGACAAGTTCTGTCTGCAAACGGAAGGGACTAAGATTGAGGAGAGCGCACAAGAGCATGAAAAGCACTGGAAGGTTCTACTTTCAAACTGCAACGATACAAAGTTGCTTGTGTTACAGCTTCTCATTATAACTGCACACCTTTGACTGCAACACTCCTTTGTATGTACTCGTATCTCATCAAAACTTTAAAGATCACAAGTAAACATGAAACTATAAGTGCCTTTGAGGAAAAGAGAAAGATTAAGAAGGATCTAACTAACCTGGGCTGTACAAGGGAAAACACTTGAGAGGTGGAGGACAAAGGTGTGCCAGATGGGGTGGGGATGAGAAGTCTCCAGGGAGAGGACAGCACTCAGGGAAGACCTGCAGCCGCGGGACACACCGCAAGGCTGGCGTAGTGGGGGGCAGATCTTGCAGGGCCCACGGTGGTGTGGATGGGAAATCCAGAAGGACAGGGAGCAGTGGGACATGCCAAGAGCCTGCCACTCCCTCCAGCGGGTCGGGGAGCCATGGCAGGAGGTCATGCGGTGTCCAGAGAGGGGCACTAGAGAGCCAGTCGAGGGCGGGTTCCTGCAAGTGCAGAGCAGTGGGCGGAATGGAAACATCTTGCAGGTGGAGCTGACGAGGTCTGCTCAGGGACTCTGCAGGGTGAGGGAGAAGGCTGGCTCCAGAAAGACACCCAGTTTCTCAGTGGGGCACGTTTGCCAAGACGAGGAATCCTCGGGAGAAGATGAGACGTGGCAGGGCACGGTGGTTGAGAATTCCAGTGTGGCACCGATCCCTGTGCCCAGGGGACACCCCGAGGTGGGAATGCACACCATCTCTAGAGGCGGATGTGGGGAGGTGCCAACTGAACGCTTGTGCCACAGCCCGGCTGTAGGATGGGCACCCTTCGTGCCATCCAGTGACCTTGGGAAGCTGTTGTTCAAGGCAAGAACCACGCCATGTTTGCATGCCCAGACTGATTTTAATAAGAAACATTGCTGCCTTTTACATGTGTGAGCTCACACATCATCCCTCTTTCTCGGGGCTTAGGGTCCCAGCAGCAAGCTCCTGCTACGGCAGGTGGGTAGTCCTTGGCTCCTGAGGAAGGTGGGCCATATGTCTCACAAGCCAGCTTCTATGTGGCTTCTATGTGGCTGTCAATTCTCAAGAACATGCACATGTCCGCATCAGTTCCAGCTGCTGCTGGCATTTCCATGCAATACTAGGTTAACGGGGAGTCAGAAAGAGACTCCACTTGTCTCCAAAAAAAAAAAATGAGCCACTGGATTGCATAATACCAAGTGAAAGAAGCCAATCTGACCATGCTATGAGATTCCAACTATGTGAAATGATGGAAAAAGCAAAGCTATGGAGATGGTATAAAGCCTGGCAGTGGCCAAGGCCTAAGGAGGTAAATGGGAGATCTCTGTACGCTCCTCCCAATTTTGATGTGAACCAGAACTCCTCCAGTAAATTTCTTTAGAGCCTTTCAATATAAACGAAATGAAATTTAAAAATGCTAAAGACACCACAAGGGCCCTCTGATGGACTGTGTGTGACATCTAAGCTCGGGGCACAGGTCTCAATCTGGCGTGTTACTACTTTCCCAACACGTCAACTTTGAACCTGCCTCACCAGTTGGAATCTGAGGAGCCCAGAGCAAGGAGAGGATGAAGCTCGGGAGAAGTCAGGGATGCAAACACACAGCTACCCCAGGAGTGTGACCCCGCACGGACCCATGGGGAGACCCACAGGGGCAGAGCCTGCACCTGCTGCTTCATGGTTTTCGTGTCCCACAGTAGCAGCTTGCCAGGAACCTGATTAGTACCCTTGCTGCCGATATCCAGAGCCGAGAAGTCCATCTGGGAAGCGAGGCTCGGGGCTGCGGCCGAACAGACGAAAGAGGCGCCGCTGGGGCTGCACGCAAGCGACAGGATTCTGCAATACACGTGGGGCTGGGTCAGCACTCTGCCTGACCCTCAGGCTTCGGCTCTGAGGGGGGCCGCCCCTAGCCCCCAGGGGCCGGGGCCGAAGGCCCAGCAAGACCCAGGCCCCACGGAGCATGGCGAGTGTGGGCAGTGGCGACTGCTCACCTAGGCATGTCATCGTTGATGTTGATCTCGCAGAGATTCTTCTTGGCTTCCGTGTCGTAGAGACGCACCGTCCCCACACCGCTGCCCAACAAGAGCTGGAATGAGAAGGGGCGGGAGATGCGAGGAAGAGCATGGGGCTCATGCCCATCAGGGAGGACCGTGGGGGAGGGGCAGGCCCACTCCTGTGAGGTGAGGACAGCATCGCAGCCTGTGGGCTCTGCAGGCAGGCCTCCAACACACTCAGGAAATCTGGCTAAAATGGACCTCATTTAAAAGTTACTGTGAAGACATCACAGGTGACCTTGCACAGAAGCGAAACTTCAAAAGGAAATCTATGGACTAGGAGAGAGGTATCGCCGGAGATACACCTGGAAATGTGCCGGCTGATTAAATGAGGCGCTCGACCTTCCCTCCATTTCTGCCAGTTTTAAATCCTGGCTGTTCCCGTCCTCCCTTCTCGCTCACCATCTAGCCGACTACATTCTGACCTCAAATTAACCCTGGCAGGCTAATACTTGTACAGAGTAAGCTCGGAGATCCTAGTTCCATAGGGTAATTCCTGCAGGTTATCAAAAACTTTTTAAAAACCAATAAGGTTTGCCTCTTGGGCTGCCTGGTATGATGTCCTCGAAATAGAATATAATGAAAGAAAACTCGGGCAGCCCGGGTGGCTCGGCGGTTTAGCGCCACCTTCAGCCTAGGGTGTGATCCTGGAGACCTGGGATCGAGTCCCATGCGGGGCTCCCTGCATGGGGCCTGCTTCTCCCTCTGCCTGTGTCTTTGCCTCTCTCTCTGTCCCTCATGAGTAAATAAATAAAATCTTAAAAAAAAAAAACCACCTCTATAAATCAAATTTACCTCATTAACTACAAATTCTTTCTCAAGTAGTAAAGTCCAGGAGGAAAGAGAACACTGTATTAATGGCACTTAGAGGACCTGAGGGGCCCCCATAGGCCACCAGCCCCACCAGCTTCTCCGGGAGCCTGCCACACAGGGATGGGTCTGGGCAGGAGCAGGGGCAGCTGAGAACACGGGTGGCGGGCTGTCAGAAACTGGAGAGATGACAGGAGCTGACAGAGAACAGGAGGCAAGTCGGTGTCTCCCCCAGGCAGAGCACCCCACCGCCAGACAGGAGTGTTTTCCAGGTCCCACTACCATCTGATTTCAATTCCTGTTAACCCAATAACCACCACCCCTGCCCCCCAAATACAATCCTGCAGAGACAGTCTGGGTGCATGTGCCTCCCCACCCCCAGTTAGAGAAAAGGGAGGGTTTGGTTTGGCTGCCTCGGGTCAGCCTGTGCTGCCAGATGCTGGGGGACGGCCTTGGGAGCTCCCCACTCAGACGGCAGCAAGATGGGTGTCACTCACCAGCCTGTCTCGCTTGGTGGCCCACTCTAGAGACAGGAGCGGCGACTTGGAAATGGAGGACGCTTTGGTCTGCATGATGGGGTTGAAAGACCACACTTTGATGACCCCGTCCACGTCTAAGCTGGCGACCCTCCTCCCCGAGCAGTCCACTCTAAGACAGAAGAGAGGAGGAGGCTCTTACCATCCTTGCCTGATCCCACCATCCTCTCCAGCGAGCACCCACAGGATTGCTTTGCTGACTCAACGATTTCTCAAACTGCCTACACTCCAAGGATGGGTGAAAACTATTTCTAGAAGCATTCATCCATTCACTTGTCCGAGAACTACTTACAGGGATCCTATTGTGTGCTGAGCCCTATGGTAATAAGCAACAGGGACAGAGCAGCAAGCAAGGTGCACCAGCCCCATTCCTGGGCCCCTGGTGCCTCCTGTGCCGCAGCTCCAGACGATCTGCGCCAGGAGAGGGAGCCCAACCACTCTCTGAAAACCACAGTCCATGAGGGTTCCTCATAAAGGTCATGCTTTTCCCACATGTGACTAGAAGCTTGTACACGATAAATATTTAGCTACAAGTAAAGCAACATAAAGTAAATTAAAATTAAGTCTTAGAGAGTTCAAATAAAAGGTAACTTGTTCCTAAAACTCAGAAACCCACAGTTGTAAAGGACAGAGAGGTTACCTGGGCCAAGAGCAGCTATCCAACCCTCCTCTGATGCTAGAGGGATGGCTGTGGTCCAGCAGGGACCATCCCACCAGGTGTGCGTCCTGCCCACCACACCTTCACATGCACAGCCTGATAAGCCAGGCTTCCTGGGGAGCGTGTTCCCTGCCCAGGCCTCCCCCCACAGACCCAAGCCCACCTGCAGTGCATGATGGAGGAGTGGTGTTCCCCGTACTCCTCCTGCCCCAGCACAATGAATGGCTGCTCAGGGCGGACCCCTCCGCCCTCGGGACCTGCTGCAGAAGCCCGCGTCAGCGTCTCCAGCGCCTCCACGTGGAGCTCTGGGAAGGGCTCGGCCTCTGGGCCACTAGCCTCGGGCTTCTTCTCTGCACTCTGTGACAAGCCAAGCGGGGACAAGTCAGTTGGCTTGGGTCCAGCCTTTCACATCCGGGGACCCGCTACAGGACAGCTAGGATGCCAGGCCACAGCATGCTACGGGAGGCCCTCAGGGGGTACAGGGTCTAGAAGGAAGTACCCGGTTTGTCGGAGAGGCAGGTTCCTGCTCTGCCAGTGGCCTGTCTCTAGAGCCCTTCCCCTTCTCACAGGCCCTGCTAAGGGAGTAGTGGGCCATGGGCATCCTCTCCCTATCACAGCTGACATGACTCAGGACAGGCCAACAATAAAAATCAGTGAGCACCTAGTAAGTGCCAGGTTGTACCTGGGTGAATAGGTATTTGCGACTACGTTTGTTTCCCTCATTTAATCCTGCCCCAAACCTTCTGAGGTCCTACTACTAACCCAATTTTATAACTGTGGAAACTAAGTCTGAATGCAGAAAGTTAAATAACTTGCCCAAGGTCAAGAGCCGGCAAGGGGTAGATTTGGATGGGAAGCCAGGTCAGTCAGAGGTAAACCTAGCCCCCGGCCAGCATCTCACCATACCAACCAGCACCTCCACCTGGGAAGGGGTTGCCAAGAGACTGGGGCGACCAGCGAGACAGAGCGATAGAGACCCCAGGAGAGCAGAGCCAGAACAAGGCCGGGCACCAGAGGGTACCTCCCACACCCTGCCGCTTGGTGAGAACACAGCCGCCCTGGTCTCTGCCTCCCTGGTGCACTGAACGTTGACCACCATGGCTACTACCCATTCACCCAGATATAACCCAGGCTAGGGGGCATCAGCCAGGGCAACCTCCACCACCCCGTGTGGCTCCCAAGGCTCTTCTAAGTGCTCTCAGGGTTGCAGAAAGCACAGTTCTACAGCAAAAGAAATGTAACAGAGGGAGAGACCTCCAAGCTCAGACAGGTGCCCTCTGGGAGTGGCTGGGGGCAGGCGTGTCCCTAATCCTACTGTCAGAAGAGGACAATTCAAGATCAGAACCTTAAGGCCTATGCCATCAAACTACAACCAGCACAGGGCTGGTAACTGGCAGCAGTGCTTCTGAAAGAGGCAACGTAGCCCCAAGTAGGGGATAAATGACCAACAAGATGGCAAAGCCAGTAAATCCCTTGGGTGCTTCCCTTCAATCCTGAGTACGTGACAGAAAGAAAAGCAGCTTTACTGCCAGGAAGAGTAGACCCCGACCCATTTTCAGTGGTGATGTGAGTCCCAGGGCTTAGCGAGGCAAGGGCTAGGACCACAGCCCAGCCTTGCATGTCAGGGTAGCATCTCCAGCAGGGGATGCAGGACAAAGGGGTCCTGGGAAAGAGCAAGGCTGGGTGATCTGGGTTAAAGCAGGGGAAACGGGGCTCTCCTGCCAAGCCTCCCAGAATCTGACACGCTAATATTATCATGCAGAAATAAGGAGGTAAGAGCAGGTGCTGTACCAACCCCACCTATTTCCACAGCAGCCACACAGCTGTCCTTGCAGGCACCCGCACAATGCCAAGACCGAGCCATACCTGCAAAGTCATAGAGAAAAGCTCCTTTCTCTCTTTGCCGTGATCCTGCAGACGCCGCTGCCGGTGCTGTGACCAGCTGGACTCCCCAGAGGCCAACCCACTGAAGAGGCTCTTCCCGTCCTTGGGCCCACATGCTGCATCCTTTCCCTTGGCAGGCTACAGGGTGAGATACGGGGTTGTAAAGAGTCACTTCCTGCCTGAGCCCACATCATGACACCTCTGCCGGGGGTGGGGGGAATGGGGGGGTGGAGGAAGCGGAAGCCGGGGGGCAGCTTCCTTACCCTACAGCTCCCTGGGTAAGGTTCATGCCCAGCTGTGTAGAGAGGTAGTCAGAACATTACCATCTCAGCCTAGGGGCAAAGTCAAGAAGGGACCTAAGCAGTCTGGACCCCCTCCTTTCTGTTGTCCACTCCCCTGTTTTAAGAGGCAGGTCACCAGCACTCCTCAGCCGGCCTTATACTTCACCTACAGGCAGACACATATACCTCCTTTATCTAGCTAGGACAATTAACTCCAGGTAAGGAGGAGAAGACCAGCACTTACCAAGCATGACTGGGGGGGGAGGGGGGGGAGGGTCAGGCCCTAGGCTAGGTGTCAGAAACATCTACAACCAACTATATATTTGGGCAATACAAAAAAAAAGTTTATGCAACATACAATCACCTCTCTGGAGGCAAAAGGAACACAATACCCTCTCCTATTTTAGGCCAAGTGTATGACTAAGCCAGCTTAGTTTAACAAGTACTGAGGTATTTGTCTTTTTTTTTTTTTTTCAAGATTTTATGTATTTGAGACAGAGAGAGCAAGCAAGCAAGCAAACATGAGTGGAGGGCAGAGGGAGAAACAGGCTCCCCGGGGAGCAGGGACCCAATGTGGGGCTCAATCCCAAGACCCTGTGATCATGACTTGGGCCAAAAGCAGATGCTTAACTGTCAGAGCCACCCAGGCGCCCCAAAACTGAAGTATTTGGAAATGGTTACTAGGCAACCAGAAATCATTAACAGAAACTGCTGGAAACTCAAGGACCTTTGAGCAAGATACAATGGGCAGGAAAGAAATTGGCATCTTCTGGCCCCTTTTCACGACAAGAGTGATAAAGTAGGCCAAGGTTACAGCAGATGAATAAAATCCCCACCCCACTTCCATGGAGAAAAGACTCTTAATCTAGAGCCATTTTTAAAAAATTTTAAAGATTTATTTATTCATGAGAGCGAGCGAGCAGGAGGTAGGGCAGAGAGAGAGAGAGAGAGAGAACCCCAAGCAGACTCCCTACTGGGCACAGAGCCCAACTCAGGGCTCAATCCCGTGACCCCAAGATCATGACCTGAGCCAAAACCAAGAGTCGGACACTCAACTAAGTCATCCTGGCACCCCCAGAGCCTTTTGAAAAGGAGAGGTCACCTCATCCTTTCCAGATTATCTCACTGGGCTGTTTCCAACCTTATTCCCACAGACTGTGATGGCCAACACTGCTTCCCTCTCCCCACCTTATTTTATACTCTTAGCAAAGGAATACATATGCCAACAGCCACTCAGGTCTGAGGCCAATCTCTTGGCAAGTCATCAGCATGTAAGACGTAAATCAAGAGAATAAACTCAACCAAAGTCTGCTCGCTTTCTACTTCTACTTATTATTTTTTACGTTAACACAAAACAACTTAAAATGATTAACAGATTCCTTTGGACCCTGAAACCATGGGACGAGTTCAAAAGGAAATTTTAAAGGACTCTTGAGTTCACATAGAGCCTAACTAGCTGACCTTCAGGGTTATTTGTTTTTCTGACTGAGGTGCTCTCCGGGGTATCGACTTATGCTTGTATCAGAGGTTTCTTCTAGGCAAAGTATTTGATGCTCCACATTCTGGCTTATCTTAGGAGAAGTAGGATTCCTGGCCAAGATAACCTTAGAAAGAAAACCAACAACAATAACAGCACCAAAATATATTATTCATTGAATGCTGACCACATGCAAGGCACCACGCTAAGAACTTTACAAATGTGCCCTTAAAATAAAGATGAGGACATTGTTTTAATAGGAAGAAGTGAGGCTTAGGTCAAGTTACTGCTCCCATAGGGACCACTGGACAGAAGTCGAATTCCCACCCAAATCTGACAGCAAACTCCACGCTCTGAGAAACCTCATAAAAGCAGTAGCATGAAAAGAACAAAGAGAAGAAAGTGACAGCGAATAGAAAAGATAAGAAGAAATGTCAGGTTCCCAGAGCTAAATCACATAACAAGGACAAGGCCCTTCTCACAGCACTTCCGGCCATTTTTGAGAAGTAAGTAACCCATGGTTCATGGAACACTGAAGAGGTTCCAGAGTTTTAGAAAGTGGAAAAAGACTTCTCTTACTTACCCAGAAGAGGTGGTCAAGATATACAAGGAAGTCCTGAAACCATGGCATACCTCACATGATCCCCACGGAGGTAGTGCTCACTCCCTGGGTTGCAATCCCAGAGTGCCAGCCCTGATTATATATGAATTTATGGATTCCTCCCCATATCTCTGATCACGGGGGCAAATCAGACTAAAGACTTCCACAAGGGTAGCTATACTCGTATCAGACAAAATAGACTTTAAGCCAAAGACTGCAATAAGAAACAAAGTCATTAGGTGATGATGAAGGGGTCCATCCAATAAGAGGATATGACACTTTTAAGTATTTATGCACCAGACATAGGAGCACCCAAATACACACAGCAAATACCAAGGAGAAATAGGCAGCAATGCCATAATACTTAGGGACTGCAATACCCCACTTTCAACAATAAAGAGACCATCCAGACAGAAAATCAAGGAACTACTGCACTTGAACTACACTTTAGACTAGATGGACCTAAAGAACAAATACAAAACACTCCATCCAAAAGCAGCAGCATACACATTCTGCTCAAAGCACATGGAACATTTCCAGGATAGATCATATGTTAGGCCACAAAACAAGTCTTAATAAATTTGGTAAGACTGAAATCATATCAAGCATCACAATTATACCAAACTACAAATCAATTAAAAGAAGAAAATTTAAACATTCACAAATATGTGGAGGTTAAATAACATGTTTCTGAACAACCAATGGATCAAAGCAGAAATCAAAAAAGAGTACCAAAAAATACCTTGAGACAAATGAAAATGTAAACACAACACACCAAAACTCATGAGATGCAGCAGGTGCAGTTCTAAGAGGAATATTCATAGCAATAAATGCCTGCATAAAGAAACAAAAAAGAGCTCACATGAACAACCTCCTCAAGGAACTAGAAAAACAAATGAAGCCCAAATTTAGAAAAAATGTAAATAACAAGGATCAGAATGAAAATTAATGAAATAGAGACTAAAGAGACAATATAAATGACCACTAGGATTAACAGCCAGTTTTTAAAAAAATGAAACAGACAAACCTTAACCAGCAGAGGACTCAAAAAAAAAAAAAAAGGAAAGGAAAGAATTCCAAAAAATCTCTTTAAAAGCCCTCACATTCTAATAAAAAAGACAAAATAAAAAAAACAAAAACAAAAAACAAACAAAACGGTGGTAGAGGCCATGTTTTCTGATTAAACATGGCCATGGCAACTCTACAACCAGCTACATACACAGTTGGGGAAAGAAAGAAGATCACTTCCTGGTTTGACAGTTATTTTCCAAAATAATAATCCAGACAAGTGAGAAAGTCTCAAAAAGCCTGGACCAACTATTATGCAGTTGTGACAGATTTATCAGCGTGACCCAGAAATTTTTACACTGGACCCTTGAGAAGAAAAGGGAAAAGAACCTACATGATATTGCATTCACACCCTGGAAGTACGTAGACCACAGGGGATCCAGCCTGGAGCCCTAAGGTGGGGAATGCTACAGAGGGCAGACAGGTGCTCTGTGGCACTCTAATTCTCCTGCTCACCACTACACTTAAGACATGGTGTGTCTTCTATACCTATGGAGGAGAGAGGCTTGGGATGGACTTCCAATTCCTCTGACACAAAAGTCCCCTGTAGCACTTTCTTGGCCAGGACAGGAAATATAACACAAAAAAGTACAAAGGCAGGTGGGTTCCCTCCAAGTCAAGATGAGAAGGAAGTTGTCCAGTAGGTGGTCAGGTAAGGGCTGGACCATCCTCCAAAAGGAAAATTCAAACAGTGTTAAAAGAAGGCACCACAATGAACTGAAAAACTGTCTTTATAATGACGGTAGTTTATGCCAAGAGAGCTAGGGACCTACCTACACGTGACCTATCAGATCCACTTTCAGAGAGCTTCTCCTTCAACTGCATCTCATTATTTACTAAAGAATGTTGAACAACAAAACAATGTGCTAAAAACTGGTGAATGCAGCACTTCATAGAACACTTTAATAGATTAAGGTAAACGTGTGTCTAGCTACAACTGTACATAACCTAAATAAATGTTTACTGTGATAATACTGGTAATTTACAGTTTTGAAAGCAAACCTCATAAAAGTCTTAACTACCAGATTCATAAAACATTCCAAGTGGTCCAAATTATATTCTTTACCAGGTGGTCATCCAAAAGAGGCAGGAAACAAGTCCCAGTAATCTGGTCTCACCTGAAGTAATACAAAGCTACCCAGAGGACAGGCCCTCATCACACGTAAAATTATACAACAAAAGGCATGGAAGAGGGCTCCCATTTCCTCTGTCCCATTAAAATCCATGGAAACAGCCCCAAGGGCAGCTGTTCTTACCACTGATGTCTCAGTAGCTATGAAGTAATTTGATACTAATAAGAGTTACAAATGCAGAAGTTTGCTTTCTTTACAGCCAATTAGAGGTTATCTCTATAATACCTGGCAACCCCATAGCTTCCTGAGTGGGAGTGGAAGGAGTGGCATTATAAGGCTGGAGGGAAAGACCGAGAAAAAGTGGAGGCTGGGTGAGCCAGCAGTGCAGGTGCCCTCAGGCACTACTGTAACAGAGATCCTAGAATAGCTCAGGAGCTGTGGTCTTCGAGTTACTTCCATTTGTTTCTTAAATTTTGCCTCCAGATGTCTATAAAGCCCAGAGTGTACATCACCATATATTGTGCCGTGTACAATACCATGAACGTTTCAGTAGTAATGACCAGGTTACAATGATCCATCACAAGTGGGCAAGATGCTCATGTGATTGAAATGTCCATGCTATACATAAATCAGATTTAAAACAGGATGGCCTGATTATTTTATTTATTGCTAATGTAATAGCAATAATGTAATGTAATAAACCTTATGTTTTTTTTTTGTTTGCTTACTCATTAAAAATAAAGAGAGGGGCAGCCCCGGTGGCTCAGCGGTTTAGCGCCACCTTCAGCCCAGGGCCTGGTCCTGGAGACCCGGAATCGAGTTCCACGTTGGGCTCCCTCAGTCTGTCTCTGCCTCTCTCTCTCTCTCTCTCTCTCTCTCTCTCTCTCAGCCACCTGGACTGCCAAATAAAATCTTTAAAAAATAAAGAAAGAAAGAGAGGGACACCTGGGTGGCTCAGTGGTCAAGCATCTGCCTTTGGCTCAGGGTGTGACCCCAGGGTCCTGGGATTGAGTTCTATATATCAGGCTCCTCGCAGGCAGCCTGCTTCTCCCTCAGCCTATGTCTCTGCCTCTCTGTGTGTGTGTCTCTCATGAATAAATAAAATCTTAAAATGAGAAAGAGAGATCCATTGAGTCAAAAGTGAAAAAAAGACTGTGTGCTTCATATGCGCTAACAAAGCAAGGTGGCTCATTAAAAAGCAAATGTCATTTTCTACTAAGTTAAAAGCAATGTATCAAAAAAATAAAAAATAAATTAAAAAATAAAAGCAATGTATCATTAAAGTCATAAGAAGCGATCATACAACTAACTGTATTTGATATTGGTAAGAGAGCACTCAAATTTTAATACACTCAAATTTGGTGTATTAATTATAACAGAAGAATTAAAAACTTAGAATGTCCCCCAGAGGAGGGAGGCAGGATGGTGAGAGGTCTAGGTCATGTCATACAGGAAAACACTGGAGAGGAGAGGGAAGAATGGACAGAGAGTGCTCAGCATGGCAAGATAGGAAGTGTCCAAGTAGCTCAAAGGGCAAAGCTACGATCAGCAAGTAAAACTTTTAGAGGTTTCTACAAATAGCTAAGAGGCAACTATCCCCATATTAACAAGTAGTGAGCTCCACATCACAGGAAGCAATCAATCAGAGGACGTGCTCCTCTACCCAACAGGAGGGGGGGGGCAGATAACCTTTAAGCTTCCTGTAACTCTGAAATGCTCTGATTTTCCTCAACCTCAAATATACTAGTTATTTTCAGAATTGAAGTATCAAGGCTGAGTCTAATTAACAAATAAAACCACAAGTGACCGGGATCCCTGGGTGGCGCAGTGGTTTGGCGCCTGCCTTTGGCCCAGGGCGCGATCCTGGAGACCCGGGATCGAATCCCATATCGGGCTCCCGGTGCATGGAGCCTTCTTCTCCCTCTGCCTATGTCTCTGCGCCTCTCTCTCTCTCTGTGACTATCATAAATAAATAAAAATTAAAAAAAAAAATTAAAAAAAAAAAAAACCACAAGTGACCTAAACATTGGATTTTTCAGATGGCAGATATCTATCACCCCCATTCATGAAATGGAAAGAGAGCTACCTTTGCTCTGTTAACATACCTCACGGTGACCCAAGTTCTGTTGGAACAGATTTTAGAGACAATTGCTTGCTGCGAATTACATTCTAACCCTCATCCCATGAACATGAACTGCACAGAAAATTTCCAATCTCATGCAAATCTCACTACGTAACATTTAGTTCCCGGACACATAAAGAACAAAGCTACAGGCTTAACCCCAAAGAACCCATCTCGTGTTTTCTTTAAGTCAATGAAATTGAATTTCAGCATTTCCTGCATTTTTTTTCAAGAGACTTAGCACCCCAAACATCAACTATTACACTTATAAAATATTCAACTGTGACAGAGATCTGCAATGCAAACAATATAACTTACTCAGCCACATTCCACAGAACTGGAATTCGAATTTTCATGTTCGGGATTCAGAAAAACTGCCATGGCAATCACCAGGTTTGGTTTGGGACTGCCCTGGGACCTCATGAATGCCAGGGGACAGTCATACTGCGTTGCTGGCACCTCGAGTTTCAGAGCTGAGTCGAGGACTCCGGTAGGCCAGTACCTTCCCAAATGCGACCAGCACTGCTACCACGTACTGGGCGTGTACAGTCTGTCAGGCATGCGTATACCAACGGCTCTTACAGCAGTTCAGGAACTTCTCCTGGGCAATAAATGTTAGTATCATCCCAAGTAAATCAGGGTGACTTTAAAGCAATCTGAGCAAGGATGATAAACAAGGACCCGGGGCTGAAAGTACACGGCCTGACTCCGAAGCCTGCACTCTACTCCCCAGCGTCCTGCTCAGCACCTGCACTTCAACAGCAAAATAGCACGGGCTGTGCTAAAAGCCCTGCCACCCCTTGGGCAGCCCCCCCGCTTCCCTGCGGCAGGGAGCAGCCCCAAACTTCTGCATCACTTGCAGCTCTTCTCAGGCCAAGGGTGGTAAGAGAGGAGGGCAGCGATTATGATGACTTACTTTATCTGTAGCTCGTAAAAAACACATTAAAAGAAAAAAGCTCCCTGACCAAGCAGCAAAGTGTAACTGTGGGCCTGTTAAACTTTCACTCTGGAAAGCGTTGCCCACAGCAGTGAGTTCTGACCATCTCTGCCAGGAAAACCACTCAGTGGGACCCACGGCCGTTTTGGACATGACCTGGCATAAAAGAAATTCTCTTACGAGCTTCCATAAAAGTGAAGAACAGCCAAAGTCCTTTGAGGAATCAGTGAATACCAACTTGTACAAGCAACACATTGATTTAGAAGTCACTCTAATTTACTCCTCCTCTACACACTGCTTTAGATCACCAGACATTCAAACTTCCACAGTGGCCTGAATTCACCCTCCAGCCACCAACTCCCCATCACAAGCTCTCACGAGTTCACAGGAATTTAATGAGAAAAAGGGAAGAGAGTCAAAGCTCACTTCTCCCTGCCAAGCACCCGCTCCCCTGCAGGGGGTCACAGGCTTAAAGGCAGGACCCAGGAGTGCAGGCAATGTAGTGGCAAGGGGCCAGGTGAGAGGTCCCTCCAAGCTAGACGAAGTCTGAGACCCGGCTCCACCCCTGGCCAGCAGCACCCACCTGCCTACCATCTCAGGGTGCCCACGACACCTGCAGCGCTGGCCAGCAGGGTGGGTGAAGGCTGTGGGAAGTGGATTTCCTCCTCACTGCCTCCACTCTACTCTTAGCTTTGCCCTCCCCCTGCAGCACCATCACTTATGTGTGAGGGAAAGGCAGGGAGGAAGGAAGAAAGGGAGTGAGATGTGAACTTAGGATCTCATCAGGACACCAGAGAGAGCAGTCCTAAGGAGAGAACAAACGAGACCTCGCTTGACTCCACATAGGTTGAAAGTACAGTCGGATGTCAGGGGCCTCTTGGCAGGAGTTAAAAGGCAGGCCTTGCGCTCACCTGACCACTGAAGGGCTCCTTCTTGGCCGAGCTCAGAGCCTGGGACGCGCCCTGCGCAGGCGATAACCTTGAGGGGCTCTTCTTACTCTGAGGCAGCAGCGAGGACAGGAAACCCACTCGAGGCGACTGGGACAGGGACGTGTTCCGCTGGCTGCACACCATGGCCCTGGACAAGCAGACACACAAGGTCACGGGGCTGGAGGGGGACGTGAGGGAACCCAGAGCACGGGCCCCCTGGGCTCCGGGTCCAGGCCCCCACGTTGGGGCAAGCATTACCCCTGGCACTGTTTCTTCTACCACAGGGAGCATCTCTGCACCACGGTAAGGCCTGCGGCTCTCTGCCGTCCAAGAGCCACTGGCCACACGTGCCGCTGAGCACCTGAAATGGGCTGGTCCGAAGCCAGGCACGCCAGCGGCGTAAGACCCACACCGGAAGCCAAGCCTCAGCACAAAAATGGTCACAAGATCTCAGGAATACTTGGTTTATAGTCGTCACGGGCAGAAATGGTATTTTGGATACACTGTGCTCTAGCAAATTCATCATAAAATTAACTGCACCTGTTTGTTTTTACAGTTTAAGCCAAGATTTTTTAAGTTACGGGTCTGGCTCGCTTTTGATCCCTGCCCCCGCCCCCGCCCCCTACCATGCTAGCTCGGAAACCAGAGCTGTTTCACCTGGTAGCGCACGCGACCCCACCTAGGTCCGGACTCTGCCGGCCTGCCTTGGCATCCTGCCTCACCTGCCACTAGCTGCGGGGCCACTCTGTGCCTCAGTCTCAACTGCTACCATCACTACCATCGGCTGGGGCCTCCGCTTTAACCGGCTGTGTTTTAAGGTGGCCTCTCTCCCCAATTGCCTACCTCTTTGGACCCTCGGGTAGGAGCACACTTCCACCAGACTGCATCCAACCTGCTGGGTGCCAACCTTTTCATCCATGAGGCACCGCTCTCAACACAGACTACCCGGGGCTTTACGAGGGCATCTGTGTTTATTACTCAGATGTGCACATCTGGTCGTGCAGGGCCCCTCCTCCCTTGGGGCAGGTTCAGAGGCCCAGCACCTTGCTCAGAAACCTTAGATGGGAACAGCAAGGGCCAAGGAGGCTCCCTGGCAATTCCATGTCAGCAGGGTCAGGGGGAGACGACGCGGAACAGATGAGAGGAGGGGCTGCCCTCACATGCCCCCCTCATGCCCTGAAGCCCGCACACACTCACAGTTCCGAGTCCCCCAGGCGGTCCATGTTGGAGACGTAAGGAGGCAATTTGTGTTGGACCAAGGCCTCCTCCTCCTCTGGCTGCAGCTCCTCTTTCTTCAGGCGGTGGATTTCAGCTTGCAAGGCAAAGAGCTGGGGGGGGGGGCGGGTTGCGAATGAGATGGCGGCCTCACCTCATCTTCTCACCTTCCCTCTGCTAAGGAGACACATCACCTCCAATACCCAACCTCGCCGGCTCTAGGGGCCCCTGGGTCTGCGCCTTGGGGAGCCGGCCTCAGCCTCTGCTCCCCATGGAGTGGGTAAACAGGCCAGTGGCAGCTGTCCCTGGACTACAGTGAGGTGAGAGACTAACACAAATCCCACTTTTTTGCTTTTCCTCATTTGACTTGCTTCTTCCTGAATTCATTGAGAAAAACAGCTCTACCCGGTCCTCCACCCTATGGAATCGACAAAATCAGGCCCTGGGACTCTCATGGAAAATTATTTTTAAATAAAGTTCAGCATTTTTGACCTCATGCCTGAAATAAAAATATATCCGCACCCAAAATGCAAACAGCTTTTGATCTCCCTTTTTCCAAATATATGACCTGCAGCGGCCTCAATGTCAACGACAGAGACATGTAAAGGCAAATGTGGGTCCCCTGACTCTCATTTTCCCCGACTAGAGGGTCATGGAGCTGAGCAGAATAACAAAATTATATCTGGGTTGTAAGCAACAGAGATGTGGATATATTTGGAAAGGGACTGGGGTATGAAAGAGACAGGAAAGCACACAGTCTTCCTCCTCTCAAACTTCACTGCCATTACTGTGCTGTTCCTGCTAAACATGAAGCTGGCGTCTGGTTTTCAGAGACTGTGACAGCCCCCAAATCGCCAGTACTGACTTGCTGGTGACTCACTTGCATCTGAGATTAGTGCTTTCCTATTTTTAACCAACCCTCCACCACCACTACCTAATTTCACATGTGAAAAGCGGAAGTTCTTCCCACCCAAGAAGCAAGAGTGTTCAGAACAAACCTTCTGCCGAAGAACTTCGTTTTCTTCTTGAACCTGGTTGGTCCTCTGGCATTCTGCATCAAAGTTCAGGATCACGGGAACTGGTGCACAAAGTTAAAGAAAAAGCCTGCCTGGGAAATGATTTAAAAGCCCTTCCCACACTCTTGACCCAGCAGCAAAACCCTTGAGCCTAAGTCATAGGGCGCAGAGGACAGACTTCATCCTGCGGGCTCTCCACACCCGTCTGGAAGAGTCTCTCCCTTGGCGCTGGATCTGGCCTGACTTTCTCCGGACAGACTCATGGACACACATGACAATCTGGCTGGTCAGCCCAGAGAGAGGATGTAAATCTAGACCTGAGCATTTTCTCCCCAACACCAGCAGCAAAGAGTTAGCACTCAGTGGGTTTTGCAGCCAACACAAACTGTAGCCAGGTCAGTGCAGACACTCAGGAGTGACACCAAGGGCCTGCCGGTCTACTATCTGGGCAGAAGGCTCAGTCTCCTGGCCTTCCCCTCTCCAGACTGCACCTCTCCCTAGCAAAGGTGTAGACTGAGCAGAGAGCTTCTGGCAGACTGGACAATCTCATACATGCTATGAATACCCACATTCTGGGTCAGGGAGTCAGCCTTTCCACCTTAAACAGCTTCAGTCAGGCACAAATCAGGTAGGGCTCCAGTCCTAGGGAAGGGAACTGGGGCTCAAATGTGTGTGTGACCTAGTTTGCAGGGCACTATTTTGCACTGAAAAGACCTTCACTGACGTTTCCAATTTCCTTAGAGGGTCCATATGGTCAGTCATAACCACCACTGGCCTAAGCCCACTGCTAGTTTAGCCTGAAAGCCCTCAGGATAAAAAGCAGTGGAGGGGTGGGGAGGAGGGGCTCTTATACCTGGCCAGAGTGGAAATCCCACTCAGACCCACAACACAAAAGGAAAGGGCACCCTTCCTACCTCCACAGATGTCCCTCCCAGAGGCCAAAATGGCCACCCGTGGTGGGGGGGCCTGTACAACACCCAATTTATCAGTGACTCACCAGGCAGATCCATTCAAACCCAATTCCCTTCTCCTCCTCTAGAACTCCAGACTAAAGAGCATAAGCCTTGGGGGATGTCCTGGGCCTCATGAATGCCAGCTTTCCATGACAAAATGGTCAACATGGTAGGCTACAAATTACGTACATTCTCCTTCTCTTAAATAGCCATACACATATTCTTAAAGCTGCTCCATTTTCTGGCAAGTTGAGGAACACTGAGGTCACTGTCAGAGTGACCCAAACGGTAACACAGGAAGGAAGCTGTGGCCCAAGAAATATTCTGACCTGCTATCTAATCTCAAGAAAGCCAAGGAATAACCTGGGGTGGGGGACCGGGGAGGAGGGCACTGGGCATGCACAGAGAGGGTATTCTCAAGGCTGGCCAGCTGCAACGAGCAGCAGCCACCTCTCGACCCCCTGTACCTGCCCAGCACTACTTGAGGGCTCCCGGCAGAGCCAAGCACTTGTACCCCACTGCTACTACCGTCCCGGCTCATGCATGTCAGCTATTACTTCGGCAGCGTCACAACAAAGATGTAGGATTTCCTGGCCAGCTGGCAAAAATAACCACAATCTGTCCATCCCCCTCACAGAACACATGACAACGGTCCATGGGCATTTTGGAGAAGAAACAATCGCCTCAAGAGCAAGCAGCAGACTCGGCCCATAGCCCCGGGCAGTGGAGAGGATATGCATGCACTGAAACAGTACGCTCAGGAAGTTGTGCAGGGACACAATGAACGTATCGGCCCACTGTCGAGAGAAGTAGGTAGCAAAGGTGGGGTTGGTGTCTGGGGATGGGAGGAAGGGCAGGACAAACCAATCCTTCCACTCAGCCTGGTTCTGGAGCTCTGTGGCCTGCTTTGCAAAGAACTCTTGAGCTTTGTCATTTCTGTTTGTCTGCCAAGATAAAGAGGAGGTGGGGTGGGGGGGACACAGACACAGAAGTCCAGAAGTAAGATTCTTCATTACTGCACAACAGAGAGCCTCTGGATGCCAGCCTGTCAGGTAAGAGGCCAAATATAATCTACAAATGCCATAAAGGACATCACTCTTTTCTCAAATTCCTTGTAATTTCCAAGAAGCTGGTTTAAACTGAAGTCCTGAAGATAAAGGCCATCCTAAAAATTCCTAGTTGATTTTCAAATAATCTAAGTGGCTTATTTGCCCAGGTCAGCTATAAGCTTTATTACTCAAACTAACCCAGCTACTTCTATTCGTTGAAACACCACCCAGGCTTATGTGCTTAAAACGAGAGGAAATAGGAATGAGGAAGACAAGCCAGATGATCTAGAGGTGAGAAGGAGGGGGAAAAGTAAGAAAACAGTCAAAAATAATTTGCACTGTGACTGTTCCACCCTTTCCCAGAGGAACATAGAGAGTCCTCCCTAGAAATTAAAAAGGAAATCTATTTTGGGGTCAAAGAACTCTCTCCAAGGAGTCTGTGAGCTAACAAGCACCTGGATGGTGTAGACGAGATAAAAGCGGAACAGACTGGTTTTCAGCTTGTTGATGGTGGGTCTGTATATATCCTCCAAGCGGCTGAAGAGCCGCCGCTCCAGGTAGCTCCAATAATCCCGAAGCGCGGCCAAGTCATACACCTGCATTAACTGCTGCAGCTGGTCCACAATCTTGTCCACCTGGTGGAGAAAGATGGGATGGAGGAGCTGGTGATGGACAAAAGGCAATGTTCCCATCATTTCGCAAAGCTCATACAGCTTTTTCCTCTTGCTGTGGCTTCTGAATGTTATTATTTTTTAAAGTTAGCAATCTAAAGTGTTCAAAACATAGGCATGTGGTAGTTAGAGTTATTTTCTGATGTTAGATCTGTGGTTCGACCCTTTAGCAAGCACGGAAATTTCCCATGTAAAAGCACAAAGCAGGAGACCTGAGTCTAGGTCTCAGACCTGTGTCTGGTTTACTCAACCAACTCGACAATGTCACTTTGATTCTCTGCTCTCAGGTGCCTACGATTTCAAAAAACACAAAGAGAGAGAGACAATCTCTGTAGTCACCCCCCCACACACAACTCCACCATTCCAGGAGTCCTAGAATCACGGACAGATGCGCTGATTCAAGTCATGGAAGCACCACCCCCGTCCTGGCAGCTGCTCAGATGTCAGCCAAAGAAGTCACCTCCATGTGAAAAAAATCACACCAGAGTTACACAGTCTGGAGGAGAAGGTTTTAGATACCAATCCAACACCCCCATTGGAGGTGGGGGGGGGGCACGGAGGCTTGGACAGCTGAAAATACTTGCTTTTTGCCTCTAAGTTCCACTAACTTTGGCAAGACAAGGACCCAGGTCCCCTAACTTGCCCAGGGCTCTTGCTGCTACTAGCTCACTGCCTCTCTCACTTCACCCGCCAACACCAACCAAGAGTCAGCAAAAACACACAAGTCACACACAGGTAAATTCCAAGAACTTCTAGGGCAGCCCGCGGGGCTCAGCGGTTTAGTGCCTGCCTTCCGCCCAGGCGGTGACCCCGGGGTCCCAGGATGGAGTCCCACGTCGGGCTCCCTGCATGGAGCCTGCTTCTCCTTCTCCCTCTCTCCCTCTCTCTCTGTGTGTGTGTGTGTGTCTCTCATGAATAAACAATTTTTTTAATTCCAGAAAATCATGTTTGAACAGGGGAAATACAAGGTTTTAAAATGTTCACCGGCTTCCCCAACTGAGGAGGCCAGTAAGTCACCTGCAAAGCCATTTTAAAACAAACACAAAAAGACATCGGAACCCAGCTAACATTTTGGGCTGCACAGCCCTTTGCCCCCAGGGCCATCGGAAGCCAACTTATTTGAATATTTCTGTTGCCCAAACTCAACGGTCGACCCAACCGTAGCTCCTAAAACCTCCATCTCCATCCAGGCCAATTGGCCAGCACCTGCCTGGAGGCGGCAGCGTGCAGGACCGAGAGCTGGACCAGGAGTCAGGGCAGCTGGGCTCCAGCCTCGCGAGGCTGCGGGCTCGCCGGGCACCCTCTGGCAAGTCACGGCCCCTCGCAGGGCCTCAGTCCGCCCTGCGTCCAGCGAGGGCCCCGGACGCGCGGCTGCCGACGGTCCCCCCGGCGCCGTGACAGCGCCGCTCCCGCCCCGGAGGGCAGTGCTGGGGGAGGGGGGCCCGCGCCCGGCTCCCTCGGGGCCGCCTCTGCCCGCGCCGCCCTCACCCGGAACCCTTTCTCCTTGTCCGCCTTGATCTCGGCGTCCAGCTGCCGCAGCGTGTGCGTGAAGCCGCGGAAGAGCAGGTACTCCCGGACCAGCTCATCCGTGCGCTCCACCGCCTCCGCCATCGCTGCGCCGGCGCCCTGAGCGGCCGCGGCGGGCGGGGACGGGAGGGGCGGGGCCTGGGCCGCGAGGGGCGGGCCCGGGCGCCGGCGCCAAGCACGTCACGCCGCCGCCCGCCTACCAGCGCGCACGCTTCGCGCGCCGCGCGCCTGCGGCCCCGCCTCCAGCCCCAGCCCTGGCCCCGCCCAGCCCCAGCCCTGGCCCCGCCCCGCCTGGCCCCGACCAGTCCTAGCCCTGGCCCCCCTCCCCAGCCCTGGCCCCGCCCCCACCAGCCCTGGCCCCGCCCCGCCCTGGCCCTAGCCCTGGCCCCAGCCCTGACCCCGCCCCCTCCAGCCCTGGCCCCGCCCCCAGCCCTGGCCCTGCCCAGCCCCTGGCCTCGGCCCCGCCTAGCCCTAGCCCTGGCCCCGCCCAGCCCTGACACCCCACCCCCGCCCCCAGCCCTGGCCCCGGCCCTGGGCCAGCCGCTTGCGTCCGCACCACCCTGCGGGAGGAGCGGCTGCGAAACCTTTTGCGCAAAAGCCCGGTCTTTTCGCGTCGCCCGCGCCCGCCTTGTGATCTGAGTTATTGCGAGTAGCGGCTGCCGGCCCCGTCTAGTAGGGCTGGGCCTTGGAGAACATCCCAGATAGTCACGAGGCGGGCGGGGGCTGCGGTGCCCTGCTCGGTGGCATTCCGTCGCCGGTTGCTCTATGCCCTGGCCTCGTTTTTACAAATAAGGGAAACTGGAGCCCCAGAGGTAAAGGGCCTCGCATGCAGGCGCACAAGCAGGTGTCATCAGAGTTCCCGAGAAAAGCCTTGCTTTCAGGAATAAAACTAATCAACTACTTCGGCAAGAGAGCCGAGATAAAAGAGAAAGCAAATTTCAGAACAGTCTCCCTACTATGGACCCAATGTCTTGTGGGTTTTGTTTTGGTTTGGTTTTTTTAGGATTTTATTTACTTATTCATGAGAGACCGAGGCAGAGACACAGGCAGAAGGAGAAGCAGGCTCCCTGCAGGGAGGCTGATGCTTAAACCATCCCAGGCCCCCAGGATCACGACCTGAGCTGAAGGCAGACGCTCAACCACTGAGCCACCCAGGCGCCCCTAATTTCTTGCTTTTAAAAAAAAGAGGGGGGGACGAGGATAACACATGCATATGTTTGTACATTTTAAAACAATATTATATACTCACTGCTTAGGGTTGTTTTCTCCAAGAGTTGAGGCTATGAGGTACTTTCGCTTTGTTTTGTTTTTTTTTTTTTACTTTTGTTTGAACTATTTACAAACTAATTTTATATATTTATGAACATGTTTGTAAGCAGGGAAATAACCAGGCTCTTTGAGCCTTCCGTTTCTCCTCCATACAATAGTGGCAATGACACCTACCTTGCAGAGTAATGAAAATTTAGTAAGATGACATATGTAAAAAGCTTTGCACAATGAATAGCCCGTCATTAAAATGCAGTATTTGTTCCCTTCTTTCCTCTAATGGTATGAGTTTTTGTTTATCAAAGTATAACTCAGAATCATTACTGCCACTTTGTCCAGACCCCCAAACCAAGTAAATAGGAATTTAATGCCACAGAGGCTCTGATCTGCACTAGAGAGCCCGCAAAGATAACAGGGAGCAAGCCGCAGGAAGCCGAGTTTCACCCTCTGCCTGCTTTAGCTGTCTTCACAGGTGTCAGTATCCCCCCAGGCAAACAGCCTTGCCCCACAGGGCAGAGAAAGAGAGTTACCTCTGTGACTCCTGGAATGACCAGACCAAAATCCTGCTTTGGGATCTCAGATTGTCAAAAGAGAGCTTCGAAATCCCAAAACGGAGCAACGGCCAAGACCTTTGCCAACAGGAATGTTGCTAATTAGATTTTCCTAAGGCTACCTGAAGTGCACAGCCACAGCTCCCACCTCCATCATCTATCAAATCAGCCAAGATTGGTTTCCTGGTCAGTGAAAGGCAGCTCCTCTGGGCCTTAGCACAAGCTCTTTCCTCTCTCAGGAATGTCTTCTCCCAGGTGCCCACATGGACAGCTCATGAAGGAGGCATCACGTGTTTGTGCTAATGCCACCCCAGAAAGGTAGTCTTTGACCATCGTGTACAAAAAAAGCAGTACCTTCACCTCCAGAATTCTTACCCTCCTTGTCCTGCTGTATCTTTCTCCTTAGCATAATTTATCACCGTCTGACAAACTAGATATTTTACTTATTTATTGTCTATCTCCCCTCTAGGCTAAGATACAAGCTAAATGAAAGTAGAGATGTTTGAATTGTTTGCTACTATGTCCTCAGGACCAAGAACAGTGACTGCCTTATAGTAGATGCCCAGTAAATATTTGTTGAATGTATGAATGAGGGCAGTTTCAGTGAGGGCCCAGCTACCTTCAAGCAGGATAGTCCTGCTAGAGGGAATATAAACCCTTGGATCAGTCCTATGTGTAGGCTCTGTGGGCTTCTGACCAGCCGGTTCCCCATCCAAAGCATCCCTCCTTCCCATCTTCTCTCCATACCCTTTTGCTCACTCTTTAAAGATTTTTGGAGACGTTCAGCTGAGTTGTCTTTATGTAACTGGAGAGGGCACTAGATTCTCCAGCTCACTCATTAGCTCCAGTTAGTTGATCCGATTAATCTTTTACTGCTTACGGCTGCTACAAAAGTAGCCTGGGGTTCCTTTAAGGAGGTGCTGTCAGGGGTCTACAGCAGTTCCATTATACAAAGAAAATTATGTGGGTACCCACAAGGTCAACCACGAATTATTTTTTCTTCCAGTCCAATCATCCTTCTTTGCCTTTGAGTTGGACAAGAAGGGAGGACAATGAACATAGCACTGGGGGGACAGGAAACATTTCATGAGCTCCTCTACTCGATGCCAGGCAGGTGTCAGGAACATGAAAATAAGCAAGACCAGGGGCTCTGCCCTCAGGACTAGCTCCTAGGGGGCTGAAGAAGAAGCCAGACAACTGAAGCACACACACTCTGGTTGCAGAGTAGAGGCTGGATTGGATGGGGGCAGGGCTGGACGGAGGATGGAGGCCAGAGAGTAGGCTGTGGCATTCCCAGCAAGGGATGAGACCAGACCTGTAGCGGTGGGGATAAAGAGCAGGGGGAGGATTTGAGAATTCCAGAGAAGTGCAACCAGCACCAGGGCTTGGTGACTGGTGAAGGTGAGTAAGGACCTTGCGTGATAGGTGATCGGCAGCTTTCCAGCTTGGGCATCTGGGTGGATGATAATGCCATTCGTGAGCACAGAGAACTCAGGGAGAGGAGACTGTGGGACTTCCCAACACGCTGCTTTTGGTGGAAGCTAAAACAAACAGAGACTCAGAAACAGGAAATAATACTAAATCCCCAGAGCACGGCTGCCCCTTCCTCCCGTGGAAGCTTCAACTATTATCTGTACACTGAGGGCTCCTAAAGCTTACGTCCAGCCCAGCCCTTTCCCCTGAGCTCCTGTGTAAATACCTGCAGGCGTCTCAAGCTTCACTGTACTCGTTCTGTTCAGAAGCATTTATGGAGGTCACAATGGTAGATAAGGCTCTAGGACTGATATCAGACGGTAGGTGTCAGCCTCTGCTTCTCCAAAGTGTGATTCTGTTACCACCCACCTCAGAATGACCTCAGAGCCTTGTTAAATTACAAAGTCTCGGGACCAACTCAGACCTACTCAGTCAGAACTGTCTGGGGCGGTACCTGGGAATGTGCATTCAGAGCAAACTCTAGGTGACTCCTGGGGACACATGATTGAGAATCACTTTGTGGTAGCAGAGGGCAGAGGGGTCAGCTATCAATCAACAGAGATTCCACATGTCAGTGACTAGGTGAAGCTTCAGAGTAATATCAACAATGTCTGCACCTGCAAAACACTTTGACATACCTTATTTCATATGAACTTGCAGCCCTATAAAGTTTTCTTTGCCTCATTTTAGGGGCACCTCGGTGGTTCAGTCGAGGTAAGTGGTTGACTCTTGATTTCTGCTCAGGTCATGATCTCAGGTCCTGGGATGGAGCCCTATAGTGGGCTCCCACTGCCATGGGGAGTCCACTTGAGAATTCATTCCCCTCCTCCCAACCCACTTGTACATGTGTATGCGCATGCGCATCCTCCCCCCGTCTCCATGTGCTCCCTAAATAAATCTTTTTCTTGTTTTTAAAATTTTCTTTTCCTTATTTTAGAAATCGAAAACTGAAGTTCAGGAGGACTAAAGAATTTTATTCAACGTCTCAAGTTTACGTTTCTGATTCCAAGTCCACCAGCGCTCTGCCAAGAGCTTCACAGCAGCATCGTTCCATCAGTCAACTTGTGAGACAGTCACTTGGGTGAATGAAGATGATTTATCCCTCCTCCTGAAGAGTCTTAGAATTCCAACTAACCACACAAGCTCTCTTTGGTAGCTGGAGCATTCTCCTGGGGCACAGATCAATCAGTTTAACCCCAGGTAGCCAAAGATAGCAGGTCAGAGAGCAAGAGTTCCTAAGCTATCCTAAATTCTGGGGTTACCCTAGAATTTTACCATCTGCCTTTCTAATCCTGAGGCTCTGGGGTGCCCTTTGTGTACCGCACACTTTCTGAGATTCCTTTTCACCCAATCCTGACTCTGCCCATGATTGTTCACTTGAACTCCTATCATCCTTTTAGACTTAGCCCCGTTATCCTTGGTCCTTCCCCATCTGGTAGCACTGTCCCCACAGCATAGTACCCTGCATGTGGTTATCACATTGCTTGGTGGCCATCTGCCTGTCTTATCAACTTGGTTGTAAACTCCTGAGAGCAGAGTGTGTCTTGCTCATCCTAGTGTCTCCAGTGATGAGCACAGTCCTTTGAAAGTAGTTGCTCAGTATCTGTTTGTTGAATTAGTGAGGAAATAAAGGCCAGGTGACTGTACTGCCTGGAATTTAGGCTCCATGTACAATACAAAGCATCCATCGCCAGTGCCAAAGACAGAAAAATCTTTTCTACCTGTGGCCAGTGCTATAAAATCCATGAGCACTTCTGAAAACTGAAAGAGGCCCGCCATGACCCATGTAGTGATTCACACGTTCCCTAC